GTATTTAAAAGTAATTTATATCTTAAATTATCATTCCAAATCCAACCGCGGGAACTCGTATGGAGTGCTTGTGTGTGCTTATGTATTGTGTTTAAAAAACGATTTAAAGGTACCTATGTAAATCGTTAGGTAGGAAAACTAGGAGACCGTAAGTCGGTAAATCCGATTACGTCTTATTATCTCTTAGAAATTATTTCTTATTTAAGAGGTCATGTTGGTTCCAAGTTTTGAACACGAGTTTAAGATGCGAAGTTTAGATTAAATTTTAAATGATTCGGATGAGCATTTTCTGTAGGTACAAAAAACGAAATAATAATTTGTTGAAAACATTCATTATTTCATATTAGTTGAACTGCTCTAACAAGTACACACAATTTTATTTTATTTTTGTTTCTATATTTTATTCTGAAAATATTGTACGACAACGGGAAGTTGGATTGATAACGATTTCATTAGGTTGTTTAATCTGTTAGCGTTTATTTCGATTTAAGCGTCAGACCAAAAATATTTGAATATATAATATACATACAGAATAATTTACTTAGCGTGGTCACCACATTTTTTTCGAGTGAAATTGTGCATATTTTCAAATAATTTTGACTTTTAGACTTTTTAAGTCTAAATAAAGCCGATATTTCGAGTACTTAGATTTTCCACAATATTTTATAAATATTTTTACCTATCAACATTTTTGATTTCCATCAACCCGTTTGTTTTAACACCACAATTTTTTTAAACTTATATAACTCCATCTATTTATGGTTATTTTTGTAAAGGTTCTCATTTGAAAAATCAAAGTTGGTACCGTCACAGAATACTCCTTAAATGCTGTGAAAAATCTAAGCATTCGAAAATATTGTCTTTTTAACTACACATAAAAATTACAAAAATCAGAATTTGAATAAATATATGCAAAATTAAATCATTCTGTACATTATTTTTATATTCAAATATGAATTATTGAACACATTTTTCGTAAAAACATTCAACACGGGAAGTAATCTTCGAACAAGTAATTTTAAGTTTCTAAACCAAGTATAACATTTATCATTTACACGTATACATCGTCCTGTACATTGCCACACATGTTCTTAAATATAATAATTTTGAAACTTTTTTCAACGTACAATACGTTATTATTTATTATTATCATAAGAATTTTTCCATAGCACATTAAATAAAATCGTTTAATTATTTTGTAAAGCAAAAAAAAAAAAAAAAACTGACAAGTACACACAGTATTTTTATACACGATATCTCAGGCAGTATGTTAATAGGGTTTATATATACTGGTAATTCCTTGACCTGGATATTAAATATTACTTTAAGTATCTAAAACTATACTAAAAAAAAAAAAAAAAAAAAAAAATGTTTAACTAAAATATAATATATTTTCGACGTCATTATTGAAGTATTTAGGTTAGAAAAGAAGCCAATTAAAAATCGAATAGTTATTAAAAATTGTTTTTTAAACCATTGTTGTAACATCATTACTCTTTTAACCACGTCGAGTATATCGTTACGACGATTTTTATTATTATTATATATATATATATTTTTTTCATCATGTTTTCTATCAATAAAATAAGCAATTTTTTTTTTTTCACAGTTGACCGAATAACATATTATTGTGTAAATATTTTGTATACGCAATACGTTTAAAAGTTCAAAACATTAACAGATTATTGTTATAGCAGCATATTATATAGCAACCGTGTATTGAATGGCTGCCAAAATATCGAATTCAAATATGCTTTGTATAAATTTATTGTTTTATGAAAAAATAAAATACCTATGTGGAATATCGATTAAAGATCATCATTGATTGCGTACAGTAGCGTAGCAAGGATTTTTTATTTTGGGGGGAGGGACTTAATACCGTTTCGATAGAATCACGGATATAGCTAAATGGAATGTAACACTTAAAATTAAAAGCGATAAAAAAAAAAACTTTATATTAAAATGAATATATGTATAATGTCTGACTTGCGTATCTTGTCATAAAATACGGCATCATATTATTCGTCAGTGCCCAAGTTTTTGAAAATGTGAATAATACAATAATCTAATAGTACTAATCAGTTATTAGTCAGGGCACATGGCGAGAAGTTAATTTCCTATTTTTATTAAAATATGGATTTCAATTGTTGTCAATTATATAACGAATTTTACTATTTTTGCTGTTATCATCTTTTCTATGGTCCTATATTTTTTTTAGCATATGGTAGGTATATCGATATTTCATCACATTATATCACAATAACCGAACGATACCGCATAGATGAATTTATTTAACTAAATTTTTGACCATATGGTTACCATAGAGTAATTATTCTATGATGGTTACATACAATATCCGCAAAAAAGCGATAACAAAAAAAAAAATGGTAAAATATTATTATTAGCGTATAATATTTATTTTCTACTGTAATATGTTGAATGTAGACGTTGCTATCAAAATATATTTGGAATTTCAATATTTGTAGCTAAAAAGTGGTATTCAAAATGTCCCCCACGGGTCTGTGTTAAGTGATTGTGCACGTGGAATGCAGTTTTTAAACCGTTGGATTGAGCTCCTCTACTTAATTTTTTACAATTCGAGCACTGTATGTAGTATCAATCAATCAATAATGGAAATTCATGTAAATAAACAATATTGTTATAAATGAAAAGAAATTTATCCAACTTTTCAAAAAATCGTAGAAACTAATAGGCCATATTTTAACAAAATTTATTGTATTTGTCGAATCCTTGTGGAACACCCTATATATACACCCCTCTGATAGCTTCATCCTCCCAGGAAAATTATGAGCAAAGACTTTTTTTTTATATTTTTTAGAACCATGGGTCAGGCCTCACGGCTAGATCAATAGTGCTTAGCATAAAAAGCAATTTGTTTAGTTATTTATAATTTTACCGGAACTGACGAATATAGTGTCGTATTTTGCGATATAAAACAGATGTAAATAAAAAGATACAAATTTAAACGTAACGATTTTTAGATAAAAATAAAAATCGAAAATAATAGAAAATGTTATTTTATCGTTTATTGCTGACAACCAGACTCTTGTGTTGCAACCAACATGTAACTTTCCGAATATCTTTTTTCGGATTCTATACTTCTTTTATTCGTAAGCTGTTTGGGCAAGGTCGGTTGTGTATCAGTGAATCGGTTGAATACTTTGATCTGCTTTTTTGTAGAAGTGTTAAGACTCGAAAATCAAATGACAGGTTTTTTGGTGATACTTGCGTTCCGAAATTTTGTATCGAGTTCTTTATATCGCGATAGAAAATAATCCGAAAATTCAATTTGAGGCGGGTATCAGTATACAGTCCATTGGAAACATGATAATATTACACATAAACCCGCCCGAAACCGATTTACGATGCACACATATGGTACGTAGGTAGGTATATATTATAGATAGCAACTTTGATAAAATATCGAAGCCTATTTACCGCTGCATGCTCTTATCGAAATGAGTTTGCACAATTTACTATGCAATGGGCCCAATAATTAACGATCCGAAAAATTAACTTTGCCAAACACAAATAATTATTATACATCTCTGTTTGAACATTTTATTCGACGTAATTACTCGGTAGGCAACTCCTATATTCCGGTCCAGAATTTATAACAGTAGGTAGGTAGGCGCCCAACTCGTATTGCGCCCGTAAACTATTATTTACCTTAAAGTAAGTATACCCTCCGAATGATTTACATATATAACGTTTTAAGACGAATAAATCTAATAAATTAGAAATCGTCTGGCCGCCTATTATTTGTACCTACAATAATATTGTCTCGGTCGACAAATTGTCGAATCCGTGTGTTCTATTATATTCGCGACGGTCAAAGCCATTAGTGGTTTTTTATAAACAGAAAACACGAACATAATTATTAATTAACCTAGTTTGTTCGCTGTTTTTAATTAAACCCGCAGAAAAACGTCTACGTGTTTGTGTATAAAATCCCGTTCCAATTAAATGTTCGATAGAACTATAACGGATAAGTAACTAACGACAAAAAGTCCATTTTCACTGACAAGGTTGGTGGAAATGTTTTTTATAACACTTTGTGGCTCGGCCAGTGGTTATTTTGTTGAAACATTTAGCAAAATGTTCAGCAGTTTGCCCTTAGGTTCTTTTTTTGTTTTTGATATATGTTGATTTCCGGGTTACCACTGCAGGATTAAACAGTTATCGAGATTTTCACTAACATACAAAACGAACGTTTTTTCTTTATGTAAGTATACATATTAATATAATATGCATAACTACTAATAAGATAAAATTTAATTGAATCGAAAGAACTGTCGCTATGAAAGTATACTACCCGTAGGGCCTACAGAAATATAGGGAATTTTGTTTTGTTTTTATTTTTATTATTTTCGAATAAATTTCGTGTAGACGTGTCTATTTTATGAACATTACACTAGGTAATAATCACGGATCAAAGTTTTAATGTTTGACCGTTCGGTTTTTACTATCCGAATATAATAGTTGAATCAGTAATACCATAAAATAGTGACCTCGTACGTTATTATTATGGTGCACAGTGGAATGATGCAGTATAACGCCTTTTCGGACTTTTCGCGTGCAGATAATAGGGAAAATGAATCGTTGGTAACGTCACGTGACAACCCGAACGCCATAATAATATATTATATATCCTTTGAAGAAGATAAATCGTAATATTATTTAAATACAAATTCGCTCGTTTTCGCGTACAAAATGTTATATTTTTTTTGTACTGTTCGCTCCGATTTTTCGTATCCCGAATTAGCTACTCCGCGCCACAGTGCCTAGTAGCCGTGTTTTGCCTAAAAAGAAAAAACGAAAAATCGAATCATTTTATTAAACCAAAAAAAAAAAAAAAAATGTATTGAGAGATACTCAGAGAAGGAAGTTGAATATTAATTCAAATTTTGTATAATATTACACATACATAATTAGTTATCTGTACAATATATTGGTGTAAACAATTATCGTTTACAAGTATGCGTTTATATTTTCAACAGGTTTCTTGGGTTCGACACCGTGGCATACACTTGTTAACCGTGGGTCGGTATACGTATACCAGTGACCAGAGATTCCAAGCAATACATTCGCCGCAAAACGAAGACTGGACGCTTCAAATACGGTACCCTCAAATCAGAGACAGCGGGTACTACGAATGTCAAGTGGGCACAACGCCTCCAATCGGACACGCGATGGTCTTGACTGTCGTGGGTGAGTAAAACTGTTTTCTTAAATTAATATTTCAGATTCCGAGTGGAAGAACGAAGAAACTACTGGAAATAAATAGGGAAACTATAGGGAAATATTTTCCTATAAGATTTTAGTTTTAAAGCTTTCCATATTCTCGCCACATTTCCCTATCACCAGCTAGCATGTAGCTTCTCTAGCTAATGATACGATAATATTATGATGTTCATGGTAATATTCGTTCTCTTTTGCCATTCATCTTCCCTAATAAGTAGTAGATCATATTTGTGTCTCACAACGAAAAGAATCTTAGATTTCCTAATATGTGTTATTTACATATATATATATATATGTTTTTACTACTAATTTTTCGTGGCCGATTTTCCGTAACAATTTTACACAAACACTACCATTTCACCAACATTTCTAACCGATTTCCGGTTATAGCACAACTTACTCTAGAAACGAGAAACATTTTTTCTCTTACAACATTTGTTCGCACATTGTATAGATTTGAACAAGTGTTCTAACTCGTGTGGTGTGATAAAGATGTTACCAATCGTTTTATTAAATTTGAAAGTGATTATTATCGCATCTCAAAAATGTTTCTGAATAAAACTTTTTGACATTTACTTTTATTCTTCCTCCTTTAACAATTGAAACTTTGCAACTTCGATTATTTGATGTACGGCCAATTTCCAATGGAATGATATACTACATAAAACTATTTTATTACCAAAAGAAGAAAAATAAAATATAGATAAAAAAAAAAAAAACCAATAGCTTCTCCGTTTCCGTTTTTGAATTTAAATAAAGATACGTATAAGTATTTGACTCAAGAACTACATTTTATTGTCATACAAATTATTATCACAGACTTTTCAACTAAATTTAAAAAAAAATACATTAATAATATTATTGTATTCTATGCATATTGTGAAATTAAAGACCAAAAAGGAAACAAAGCATAAATCACTTCCAAACAAGTGTTTAGAAGTTTCGTTGTCTTTTTGAAGAAACAAAACAATTTATTAATTTGTCATATTACAAGTCGTACCAATTACAGATGTAAAAGAAGTAAAATCGATAAAACACAACAAGCGTTTTTATTATGAAAAAATGATGTTGATGTATGTAGTTTTTTGAGTGGATTATAATATCGTTTAGAATTTGTGAAATTACTATGGCAATTGTTTGTCTCACGTTTTATACAATGCAGTTTGGTAAATAATAATTTTATTTTAACTTTTCGAAAAGTTTTCGCCTCGAATGACGAAAATTGCGTTCATTTTATAAACTGCATTATTCGTTATAATCACATTTGTTTAAGTTTTTGTCAATTTATATATATATATATATACATATATTTTAAGAAACTCATTAATTTTACATTATCTACATAATCGTGTAACATAAAAATACCTCGTTTGATATTACGAGAACATAATTTAAGGACCCTGATTATTTTTATAGATCCGATGAATTTACTGAGCTGGTCAGAACTTAGAACCCAGTTGATATACGTCACGCCAATAGCAATAATGTCACTGTAACATGATTTATCAATTCGCACGAAATCTAAAAACGTTATTCAATCGACTTTCAATAGTACTTTTAGTTTAAAAAAAAAAAATCGGATTATTACACAACGAAAGTTTTAACCACCATAATCACCACAGAATAATGTAACGAATTTCTAACTCGTTATATTTTTCTGGAAACCGATTTGAGACTCTTAAGCATATCGATGGACAGTTAATAGACTTTCAATGTTGTTGTTTCTTTTGTAAACTCTTATAATAATTTAGACAAATTGTTTTTATATTTCCCGCTTTCTCGGTAATTTAAAGGCAAATAATGGATTTACTTGCAAATCACACATATTTTTTCTAATAAACGCTTAAAAACTTTAATGTAGTAAGCTCAAAATAATTTGTTTCACACTAAAAACAACAGAGAAATGGAATTGTAAATGTTATTTTGCACATTTTTACATATTTTTCATTTTAGATTCGGAGCGTAGCAAAGAATCTATTGATTTTACTATGATGTGTGTGTGTTTTTTTTTCTGTCTGTGAATCATTTTTCTATCGAAACTCTTGCTCCGAAGTCTTTTTTAAGAGTTTTAAAATCCAATGTTGATGAATTTTCCTAGAAACGAAAAATACGGGTAATTTGTATTTATTTTGTAGCTATAAAAATACATACAATTTTTATCAAAACACAAATGTTTCATAACCTTTGTTCAGAATAGTTGGTCGTTATGTAGCAATGATTTATATCTTCGCATACAGATATAAACTAAATTATTCTACGTATTCCACCATACCAAATTTCCTACCCAAACATTGACATGCCCATAGTGCTGCCAAGTATGTTAGATTTTTAAATATATTTGCATTTTTGTATTTTAATCACAAATACTTTATGGAATAAAAGCAAAGCCATATAAATAGAAAATCGATTACGTAATTTTAATCGTTTTTTTATCTGTGGTATTCGATGTACTTTTTCCGATTTTTTTTGATACGTTAAAATTTTAAAAGTAAAAATTTCACGAAAAGGAATTACGATATTTAAGGAAATATTACAGCGAAAATGTATGTAATTATAACTACTATAAAATTATTTTTTGTTTTTTATGGAAAACATGAATACATAGTCGTCCGATTGAATAAAATCAAACGTTTCAACCGATTTCGCTTGGAATATTTTTTTCAAACACGACTTGATTTACTATGTTATATTAAATTAAAAAATAATACCTCAACGCTCGTTGAGGTATTGTTTCACGTTGTTATATTTTCCTACTCTGTTGGATAATTTTTTTGTTTATGTACTCATATAATCACATTAAAATGTACGTCTAAAAGGTTTCTTTATAGTTCGAAATTAATTTTGACGGCTACCGTTAAATCGTTCCTGTACGTAATTGCAGCACAAAACATTATATTATACATATTTTTTTTTTTTTTTGATAGTATTAGGCAATATTATGTCCTATATTATTTATTATGACTTTATAAAATACACCACAAATAGTCGAAGGCGAGGAGAATAGGTACACGAAATATCGTGTGTGCTATATTTATTTTATACAATTTCTTTTGGTTCTTCACGATTTTGATTCGTTGCCAACGTTTTTATCATAACTGCGCAGTAGTGGCGTTCACAGATCTTTTGGAAAAGGGTGATAAACGAATTATTTATATGATAAACCGTGGGGCTTACGCCCCACATCCCCACGATAACATTTCAGTAAACATTAAATTGCAATACATATTACTATGAATTTAATTTTTAAAATTGTTTTTAATTTGTATTTATTCTTCTTAATTTGTGTGCCTTGATTTTAATTATTCTTAGTTTTTTCGCCATACCGTCGAGGAAATGATCAGCGTCATATCTATTAGTATATGAAGTATCAATGAGGTAGTATCAATTGATTCCATACATATTTAAAAAAAAAAATTAAAAAGAACTGTGTCATAATATTTATTATTATTACCCGTTATTTCACTCATTGTATTTTATAAATAAAGTTTTAGGTCTTTTCGTAAATACTAGTTTTCTTTCAGTTGTCATATTTTCAGTAAATGATAGATATTGGGGAAAATGAATTTACAACATAAACGTAAATGTTATTATCGTTTTTCAATTTATTCAAAAGATAAGGTATATTTACATATAATGTTTTCTTTAATAAAACTAAAAAATACAACCGAAACTATTTTGTATTTTGAGTATAACGAAGAAACTATAAGTATTAAAAATATATGAATATGAGTAATAATAATATTGAACAACTATTTTTAAGAGTTCGTGACATCAGTGTGCATATTTAATTTTCAATATTTTCATGTTTTACCAGCAATATTAGCCGCATTGTGTTTTCTGTACTTTACATCAACGCAACGCATTGTTCTGTGCGATGAACGCAATGATAAACACATGTGCTCAACATTGTTATTTTATTCCGATATAATTGATAAGAATACAATTTGAGAATTATATATTTCAATTATTCTTGCACTGGCTCACGACCTACTCCAATATAATTATCAATTATCAATGTACTCATATTGCTCTTACTATCTTCTTATCCCATTCTTACCGGTTTATCTTATCGATAGCATTTTTAAGTCTTGGAAATTTCTAATACAATTATTAATCGTTGCATATAGTTTACGATCAAATTACCCTGTGTGTACTATCTTCTCGACTACTCGCCTACATCCATATAATTTGAACTTTTTATAAATTCATATTTAACTAAAGAGGTTATAAATACTTATGCCAATCTTTAGATAATGTTATTTTTTTTAAATTTTTATCATAGGCTGGTTTATGTTAAATTTACCCATAATAAATAAAGACCTAATACGATATTTTTTGACATTATATTTTTATTTCTGGACTTTATTTCATAGTTAAAAACCATCTTTCATTCTGCTATTTGTATAATGAACTATAATATATTATTATTATCTACAAAAATATAAATATAACTACCAAAGCGATTTTACTTATAGTAAATTGCAATTATTATTCTCAAGGTACCAACCTAAAAGGAAATAACGAAATTGGTTAAAAAAGAATATTCACAAAATCACTTTCACAAATACCTGATTATAATAATATACAAATGTAAATGTTCAAAGTTATTATTATTTTTCATTTTTTTTTTTTTTTATAATATCGTGTTCTTGTACATTTTATTGTTTAAATAAAAAAAAATCCTAAAAATAAAATAAAATCGTTTAAAATGTTTTATTTAAATGTTGTAATAATTACATACAATATAACAAGAAAACAGAGCTCTGAGCTAAAACTTATCGTACGTTTGTAAATCAATATGATAATAAATTGGCGTAAATGAGACGAAAAACGCCACCATTTGAATATTTAACTTTAAATATTCGTATTAAAAAGCGTTTTAGTGCACCGAAATATATTATGGAGAAAAAAAATATAAAAACATTTTCGAGTGTACTTATTTTTACAGTCGTTCATGACACAATATCAAAAAAAATAGGTTCTATCCTTCGAGTATTTCAGTTTAGTAAATACTTAATATGTATATATATACGTATTTTCAAGTATAAGGTAGTATTAATATTTTATATATAATAATAATATGGAGACTGACGTGTCACAAACAGGATGTTACTAGCCAGTATCGTTGTGAGTGCAGTTTGTATAAGGCGTACGCGTACCTATCGAAAAAATGGAGCTGCGCGTCCTTTGCTTTGCTTTGTTTAAGACCCAAAGGTCTTAAATCATAATGGCATTATGGTTCACACTAAGCTTACGCCTCTTTACCGGTGTATAGTTCTACAAGTACGTGAATTTTTAAGGAATTAACGGGTCAGAGATCACTGGGTGAGTGTTGGTTTGGATGTGACTGTAGCTGGATGCAACCCAGGTTCTAGGTTTCCAATATGATCAAAGTTCAAGCAAATGTCGGCAATGTAGAATAATATACGATTTAAAATTTAAATGTTTGGCCGTTTAATCTTTGATTGGTTTTAGCCCTGCTGAGGAGGATATCGTTGCAGACTAGAGTCGGCATCTCAGTGACGGTTCGGATTAAAATGGCGTCCTTTTAATTGAATTCGTCTACTTATTAAATAAAATAAATGTATTACAGAAACAAGATTGGCAAGACAACAGCAGAATTTTCATTTGTATGTATTTCAATTTAGACCATTATTATACAGAAATTGTATTAAGTTGCATTTCAGTTGTTATTCTATATAAAATATAATATAAGGAATTTTTCATTTATCAAAAAGATTAATAATAATAAGAAAAATATGTAACTTCTATTAACGCTCTCTATAACATTTGACGTCGTCATGTGCTGTGGCTTGCAACGGGGATATAAACCCGTATTGAAGTAATGCATATTATATTATGTTGTATTTGGTATTAAGAAAAGTGCGCTCTATTTTTTTTTTTTTATTAAACATAATTTGCATATATATTAACTTATTTTCAGCTTTTTGAACTCGCGAGCTATTATAATATGCACGCGTTGTTATATTGTATTTCTACGGTTTTCGTTAAAATCTGAGAGGACGTCTTCGAAAAATACGATTCGTTTTACTATTCCAGCAATTATTGTAAAAATAATTGACTATTATAATATTATTAATGTAAAATCTATTAATGTAGCCGTCCCACCCGGCATTTTCAATAATTGGATTCCCCCTCGCATCTAAAAATGGAATTCTAACAAAAAAATTCCTCTTAAAACCGAAATCAATAAAACAAATTCAATTAAACGTGTCTTTCGGTTCCCTCCTCCTTTCATATTTAATCATATTTAACCGTTGATATAAATAAGGGGGATTATTTTTCTAAAAAAATTGTGTGGTACTTTCTTGCCAGTGATTATAAAATTAACTGATAATAATAGTTTTGTTTTATTTTTTTATTATTATTTTATTTTATCTGTGTCGCCAAAGTAACCAATAAATCATTAAAAAACAAATTGAATTTTAGAAAAAAAAAAAAAATCATTTTATGATATGAACAGTCGTTCTAAAAATCTGTTTCTGTTATGATATTTTCAGATCTTTGGGTGGGATATGTCATTCGATCATATGTTGTACACACACGCGAATAATGAATTTTATTATTATTACAAATAGATTATATTTTAACATTTGACTAATAAAACGAATTATATATTTTTCGTTATAGACAAAAAAAAATATTGTTTCGTTCACACATGAATTATTTATTTAATATCGGTGTGTACATCTACCCTATTCATATTATTTTTGTTCCAAGGCTTATCTTTTCTAGTAGTCTAGAACAAAAGTTCTTTTTCCTCGTTCTTGGTACATCAGTTTAAGCACGTAAAACCAAAAGTCTTTGTGCGGAGTTTTTCAAAGTTTTTTTTTCTCTTTTTTTTTTTTTTTTAGTTACAAGACGTATTCACAATCACTAGTGGCGTTTCCTATAGCGTTTATCAGGGCGGAAACCGGGTAAACCGTCAATGACATCACAATAAAATGGCATAGAAATAACACTATTTTTGCCTCGCATTTAAACGCTCCGTTCCTATCTTGAAAACGAATTAGATAAAAGTTTTAAAAAGTCAGTGCGACAAAATTTCGAACAAATCGTCTGTGTCGAAGTTAAATTAAGACGAAAGCACGCACGTGCAGAAGTTTCAACTATTTAATTTGTTCAAGTGTCTTCGTCTCTCTTTTCTATTTTTTTTCCTTTCCATTTCACCCTTTTGAGGCGACAGTTGGCGGCCAATTTGGTTTTGCCCATGACAATCGGGACGGGTAAGGTGTGCACCTACAAAACAAACGCGCCAACTATTCTAAAGTTTGAAATTTTCCTTTTAAAAGTCTTCGATTACAAAACACAACCGTTACGAGAAATTCATTGATCAGTCTATATCTTTTCAAACTGTCGCGAGTCGTCTTCAAAATGACGTGCAACCGTCAAAACCCTCGAAAATGTATCGTGTTATTATTTTATCGTACGCGCCTGTTTGAAGTGAACTAAATAACGATAATAAATTCGGTAGCAATACAGTTAGTAGAATAATATGCATAAAATATTATTAAAATCGTTTTCAGACGTCAAGTGTTATCATGTTGATTATAATGTACGTCGAAACAATTTTAACAGGCAGTTACCCGTTGTATTAATCAGTTTACTTACATAAAACCGTACTATAATCGATTATAAATTATAATTTGATAATCGGAAACAAAATACGAATAGATACGCGGGATTTAATATTATATATATAAATATATTATCATCTGTTTGGTTCCTTTGATCGCCGCGCTGATTATAATGTAAAATACAATTTCAAAAATGAAATACACGTTTGCAGTAACAGCAAAAACATGCTTTGATAATTTTATGTAAACGAAACCAGAGATTTTACAATGAAAACACGTTGTGTGAAACGAGCGTGTTGACAAGGATTTAAACGTTTTAAATACTAGTGAAATCTGTATAATATATATTAGGATGAACCGGGATTTTCTTTTACTTTTTTTTTATTCTTTTTCTGCTCTTCTTGTGATACGATCGGTTGGGCAAAACAGATTTTTCTCAAATTTTCAGATGTATACAATTATTTCTGGGGATCAAGGGTATCTGCGAATCTATCAAAAATAGTTGTTTTGTTAGTTTTCATTTTTTACGGTTTAAATACACATTTCTCAAAAACAAAAATCAAAAATCGAAGATATGCAAAAAAAAAAAAGCAAGTAATAAAAAAAATGAACAAATTTAAAAACTAAACAGAAATTTACGTTTATTTAGCTGGTGGAAAATTAAATTGTTGAAATTATTGGGTAGTTTTGAATAAGGGTGAAACATCAAAAATAACAATTAAATTTTATTTGAACTACTGAGCGTATGTTTTTTTGAAAATGTAGCTTCATATTTTATTTTTACAAGTGTAAAATATAAAAATACTATTGAATATTATTTCGTGAAGAAAAAAAAATCCAGTTTGAGACCATCGTTTTTCGCTAAATACATCGCAATTAGTATGTATTTTATTTTACGATTTAAATTATTTCTGAACAAATAAGATCCTATAGTTGACAAAAATAAAATCCACATTGATTACATGATATTCCAAAAAACCATAAAAATGTACATATTGTTGATAATTCATTACCTGGAATTGCATTTGAACAAATTTGTTTTTGTGAAATTTTTTGAGTTTCACAGTTAATAACTTTGTCAATATTGGTTCTCTTCCTATCAACTATACAGTACCTTACTTTTTCCGTATTACATTCTGATGATTTACTTTCATGCCATTTTTTTGTTTAGCGATAATTTAAATCGTAAAAAAAAAATAAAAAATTGCCTTATTCACAGAAATTTCTGTTGGCGAACTGGAAATTTTTTTTTCGTGAAATAAGATTCGATGGTATTTTTACGCATGTACAATTAAAACTTAAAGATACCCCCGCGAATAAAAGATTATGGTATACCCTAATATTGTATAGACATATTTAAATATAGAGCATACTACATACTTTTAATCGTGACTCACATCAGTGACGTGCCGAAGAAGGTTTTTTTTTGAGGCAATTGCCTCATGGCAAAAATGGGTGGATGGGTGGCTGCCAGATATATTGAATGTTGATTGAGATTGACTAGTTCAGAGATCATATATACTACTTTATAGTTGTGTGTATAATATTATTAATATACACGAATATGATAGAATATATTAAATATATAGTTGATATAGCTAAATAATCTGTAATTATGTGTAGTTCATGTAAAAAATACATGTTTTAATTGGGTGAGTCCAAATTTTTTTGTTTTGCCTCGAGTATGAAAAATATTCAGCATCCAATTGACTCACATTTCCGACTGAAGTATTTATTTGATGTTTTTGCGTACAAAATTTGACAACAGTCGGCCAATGACATTTTTTACTATTCACTTTTATATATATATTGATTCTGTGATCCCTATTTTTGAAAAAAATATTTTAATTTGTGATATTATTAACAGAGGATGGGCCGGCATAATTTAATCTAAACGATAAAAACAATAATGAACACATATCCGATTTACAGTGAAAAATTAGCACGGTAGTTATCGATAAGATATAAATAATGTTTTCGTTATAACTATACGGTGTCCTGTGAACGCAGTTCGGAAAACCATTTAGTACGGAGCGTTTGCCTAATGTGTACTATTACTAGCGAAATGGGTTTCTGTTTTAATTTAGATCCTGAGTGGAGCGAGGAAACTTGTGGTTTTACGAAGATGTTTAGTTTTAGCCGTTGTACGGTTTATTTCAGTTTCTGTTCGTGATTTTTCCGTGTGTCCCGTTTCGCCTTAAAAACCGTAATTCGCGTCATTACGTATCGCCATCGTGCGTCTTGATTGGCCGCCCTTTTTGTGGTCTAGTCCGGGGCACGTTTTCCGATCGACGTACCCGGGTGACGTCACGTGTCTCGCCGTCGTGCATATCGCGTTGCGTAACGTTGTGCGTACGCGGTACACGTTTACGTGGTCGTGGTCGTGGTAGCGTGTGAGGAACGGCGCCGCCCGTCGTGGTAGCCTATCACTGTGCGCCCAGTTATTATAATCTGTTACTAATCTTTTTCGTTTTTTTTTTTTTTTTATATATTTATTGTTACCGTTGTTGTTGCTTGGGTGTAAGCTCATATCGTGCGTTTACCGCCAATAAACCCGTAACGGGTACCTATATTATTGCGTGGAACATTGTCGTTTTCGGTCGAATATTCTTCTCGGATTCCCGACGTTGCGAGTCGACTCCGGATACCTTGACGCCGCCGTATAGGTCCGGGGTAAGCGATCAAACAATATTATTATTATTGTTATAACTGTTATAATAATTTTAATATGAAAAAGATTTGCAACTTTTTATTGTTTCGCAGAATTGAAATCAAATATATTTCGTTTTGTGAGTATAGGTGCCCAGTGTAGCTTCATTCTTTAGCATCTGTTAGATTGAAAATACCACCGCTCGAGCAAGTTTGTTTTAAATATCACAACTAATAATACATTTATTTTACGACAAACCGAAAGGATGCACAGCAGATATTATGTTCCGATGTAATATTGTATCTTCGTATAGTACACAAATATAATGAATTACGTTTGCTATTGAAAATTTCAAAAGCGTTACGAAACGTAAATATTCTATCCGAATGTTTGATTCGTGATGAATACACTTTTTTATTACGAAAATAGTTTAAACATTTCCGCTGGAACAACATTGACGCGTACCTACCTAAATATTTCAACCCTATCTATTTTCCAAAATCCGTACGAAATCTAATTTTACCGCGTAAACAATCAAAATAGCGAACAATAATAATCGTTTTATCCGTGTCGTTCGAAAATTAATGAATTTCACTGCGATTATCTAATACAATATACACACAAACGCACAATAATAATGTCTACCAGTCGAAAACGTAGCGACAAACTCAATCGTATTCGGTCGATATATGCAGTAGTCATCAGTTCGATGTCGACTTTTTTGTTGTTTCTTTTAAAAAAAAAAAAAAAATCATCGATTCATCCGACTGTTATCTAAGCCCGGTCCGTACGGTGATGGTTACGATCGCGATAGTTACGAAACTCGCAACAATGACAGTTACCGTCATGAACTGTCGTCGTGTGAACAGTACGATAAAAACTATCGAATAATCGTGTGAAAGCAATACCACGCAATAACAATACCATGTACTCACTAAAGTTTTTACTACGGTTACTATCGTGAAATCAACAGTAACTATCACCGCGTGGACGCGTTCTACCGTTTTATTTTACTGCCGAGACGCACTTTCATAGATGCGTTTCGAACGAAATTCACTCTATATACTGTCATTTTTCCCACCAGTATTATTAGCCGGGAGTAGCACGAGGGACCGTAACACCACTCCTTCCCATACTCCCCCCTCCCGAAACCGTTTATTTTATTAGTTATTTCGGTTGTTTCGTTTTGTACTAAAATATAAGTATGTTATAGTTAAAATGTTTGTGCCCCCCCTTCCACCAGAAGTTTTTTCTTGACTACGGTGCTGCTATTTTCTGCTATTTCATCGAATAGACGCTATCTCTGTAATATTTACTATCGCGACAATTGTAACGCCGACCATCACGATAAACAATAGTCGATAATGTGACTTTATTTGTTAAAGGACTTAGGTACTCGTTATTCGCTTTTCAATATAATAATATATCCGTATGAACGATTACAGACAGTTTTAGTCTATTATTACTTTTTTGTTTTTCTAAAGTTTTCTTTCTAATAGTTATTCAATTTAAATCGATAAAAGATAAAAACAACCAATAAATATAGTTTGACACGCTTGTTTAATCCACATTAAACGTAACTTTCCGGTCGTATAAATAGGTAAGCATAGGCATTCGAAACTTATATAATTGTTAAAACTTGCGTTGCATAAAAAAGAAAAAACACATTCACATCACTGCATTCAAGTACTCGTGTTTGTTAAGGCGAATGAAAAGAGAAAGAAAAAACAACGTGAAACTTTTTAATTTTCATTAACAAAAAAAAAACACGTACGATATCATTAATATATAACCTATATTTTCGTGAGGTCCGTGAACCTTGTGTAAAAGTCGATATTTAATTATTATTTAAAATACGGAATTCGATGATAAATCGTTTCAGTTGATAAGCGCTTCTGAGCTTAAATAAAGTTTTAGCGTTTTTTTGTATTAATTTTTCCTATTTTTTTTTTTTTTTTTTAATGTTTGTTGCTAGAAAATTCTTCTGTAAAAATACTTTCGAAAATATATCATTTGTTTCCAATTACGTGTCTATATTATATAAAGTTTCCAGTGAAACTCCGAACTTATGATACTCTGAAAAATTTAGTTTTTTTAACAAATAACAAATAACTCTCGATCGATGTGGAGTATGAAATTGTCTAAACGATGAAATTCGATAATCAATACCTCCCTGTAAAATATAAAATACTTATTAAACTAACTACATAATAAGAGTTTTTTTTAATAACCACTATTACTATACACACTTATTCGTATTTCGGCAAAAAAAAAATGGTCCTCAGTGATTTTCGATTTTCAAATATTATAATATTATGTTATGCTTTCATATTTATATACTATTCTTGAAAAACCAAATAACTACCCAAAATTTTTTTCTTTTTTCAAATAATTCTTCTTTCAGACGTTGTGTTAATAAAAAAATTCAAAATTCACAACATACTTCGCATCATGGTAGGTCACTGTTTAAGGTGAAAAGTAAAAGATAAAGGTTATAATATAGATTAATTTAGATAATAATTTATATGTATATTATGTATATACATTGAAAACAACGATAAATTGTAATCAAAAAACGATGTTGAGCGGAGCTTGATAAACTGGAAAAATTGTAGCAAGTCACTTTGCTTGGACCAAAGTAGAGTTACTCACATCTTCTATGGTACATCATAAAAACATTGATGAATTTTTACCAAACGGATAAGTGTATTCCGAAGAAGTGGTTTTTTCGTCAACTATAAGACTACTCGTGTCTCATCTAAACTTCAAAACGGGCAATTGTTTAGTATTTCATAAGACCAAATTTAATTGGCCAACGGATTGATAGAAATTTCAACGCCAACATGTACACTAAAAATCGCCCATTGAACTGACTATAATCCATTAAGTTTATTCTATAATGGACTTCAAGTGTTACAATATTAGTTGCATTGCCGTAACCAATAACCGTTGACTGTAAAATAATTGCGATACTACATTGAACTTATTGGAATGTATGGCGCACGTTTCAGACTACAATTTAGACATTTTTTTCATCACTGTTATATTCTAGGTGTTTAATTGTAGTTTGTGTGATTCTATTACTGTCATGTATACGGGCACCGGGCCAAACATCGTCATAAATAATAATAAAAAAAAAAAACAAAAAAACAAATGTTTGCGAGTGTAAGACCCGGAAAAGAGATCCGGAAAGTCAAAATAGCGGATATGAACAAAAATTTGTTATACGAGTAAAAAAAAAAAAAAAATATAAATCTAGTGATCATGATGATGTAAGGTAATAAATAAAAAATCCATTAGGATTTCCTTAATATTAAGTTCATCGTTATTATTTTTTTTAAACATTGTCTTCAGACGATGTACATTTCACAATATATAATATTTATGACGAGAAAAAAAAGAAATTCAATAATAATAATATTCGTTTTAAAAAAGAAAAAGAAAAAAGAAGTAGACTATAAGATAATAGATTCATTTTTCTTTTGGCTTTGAACATTTTCATAAAAATATATCATAATCCTTCCGGATACATTATTCGAAAATCATTTGAATACTATATAATATATGATGTTCGTTAAAAAGTGTTTTAAGATTCAATTAATCGCCGCCAAATGCTTAGTCGTCTACCCATTTTTCTAAAAGTTGTTATTGATATAATTTATTTTCCTGGATTTAGAATACAAATTGATTTTTTTTTTTTTTTTTTTACATTCCAATTAAAATACTGATTGATGAAACAGGCGATGAATTTAATTTATACGTTCTCATTATTGTTATTATACTTTATAACTGACGGCCTCGGAGACTAAATTAATTTAAAATTTAATTTATTCCATCAAGCACTACGGAAGATCTTTGAATGGCAGCGCGGCGGTTAGAGCCTGCAAACTACAATATTTTTCCGCGTGTCCGTTTTTGTATACATACGAGCGTAATAGATACCCGTCAGCCCGCCAGTATTCAATCGGACCTCCGAAGATATCGGGGTGGAGACAGGAGGATTCATTATGACATAGGTACGGTATAATACCGTAACAGAATAATACGGAAAAGAAACTCGATCGGCTGTATTATTTCGGAATCTCGGGACCCGAAACCCGAACTTCCCAGCGGACGCGGAAATAACGCTCACAAAGCCTATTATGTCGATTTGATCGATTGTCGCGTCATTCCCGTTTGGTCTGACGGACAACCTGCAATAAGCATTCGTGGTTTTCCAAGAAAATTGTACACGATACCTGTATCGGAACTGTATGAAAAATATAGTAGTGACGGTATCGGCGAAACAAACATAATGTTTCAACTTAATCGAATCGTGATCGAAGAAATAACACATTATAAATTTAATTATAATACATCCATAAGTGAGTCACATAACCTCAATTAGACAAATAGTACATTTTTTAACGACAAACACTGCAGCAATGTTCCAATAACCGAAATGAGGAATGACTAACGTTAGGGTTTGGTCTTATTATACTTGAAGTCTGTTGTAAATAACTTTCAAATTATGTACACTACAGGACTACGGTACTTATGTTAATTTTTTTTTTTTTCAAACTCCAATAAAATTTCAAAATAAACGATGTGTTGTTTTAATTCGACACGATATTACTATACTTTTGAAAATTATTCGGTTACTCAGCAAAAAAGAAATAATTATGTATTAATAAACCGTTATGGTATGTGCTCGTCTCAAGCGGCAGTAACGAAAAACCAACAAAAACGAGCTGAGCCGAATTCCTCTGCATTTGCTATGCATTAAATTGTATTTACGATTTTAAAAAATATAACGCAAATATTATGAGTCGCTGACATGATATATTATTATGCCGGATGATGTTTCAAATGAGTAAACTCGAGAGAAATAATATTTTCCGTAATAATTTTCCTTTTCGTTGTCTGACGTTGCAACTTTTAACGTTGCACAACTCGATATATTCTTATACGATACATATTAATATATTTCCTTTTATTATTCTCAATATTTCTAAAAGTTGTTGTAAAAAAAAAAAAATAATCGATTTTCAAATAACGTTCAATAACAATTTTAACTTGTTAAAGAGAATCGACTTTCCTTCGTATTTTACTCGGATATAATGATCGTAAAACGGAGTGGTAAGTCATATCTTTCTGTGTGAATTTTGTAATTCGCTCATAGTGAATTTTAACTCTTAATATTTTATTATAATTGTATATTTTGTTTTATTTTTCTGTTTTATCTATGACTATTTTTACTTTAAATTTTATAACATGATATTGTGTTTTGATTTGATTTGATTTGTACCTATGCCGGTTAGGTAATAGCTCACATAGGAAGATTACATTTTACGAAAATGTTCAAAATATATTTTAGAAATCGTAAAATATTTTGTTATGATCTCATAATCATTTATTTTTAAAATAATTAGTGTGCTCAAAAAAAAAAAATATTAAAATGTTTTAAAAACTTTTCCAAAATATTTTATATTATATTTTGAAAATATTGTGTAGTCAAACATCAGCAGAAAATAAAAAAAATGTTGACCATCTAAAGTGATTTGAATCACTGCGCCATCATATCGGATATAAAACACGAATGGATCTTTGATATTTTATTTATACAAATAATTGTTATTTTATATTGATTTAGAAATGAAACTTCTTATCTGAGGATAGGCGTAAGATTCAAATTACGTCGCCCTCCAGAGTATACTTACCCAGTATTTTATTTCAACTTGATTGCCCTCACCCTCACTCCCATCTTACCACGGATAAATTTAGCTCGTAGCAGATTTAAACAAAAACGCCATAGTTATCGTCTATATGCTCAATATTAATTTGTATTAATATTATCGTAGTGCAATTGATTATGAAAATTACAATTTCTAAAAGAGATGTGCGCACTCACGTGTTGAATTTTCAGAAAAATTCTGTTTAAGAAAAATATACGTTAACGTTAAAAGGATTAAAACTTTGAAAAAAAAATTATAATTTTATATTTTCGAAAATAATATATGCATAATGTTAGATATAAATATACATAATACATAATAAAACGGGACTTTTGAAAAATAATATAATCGTGTCAACTTTATTCTTAATTTCATATTTTTTACACAGCAATTTGCAAAATATCGATTTCAATAATTGCATATCCTTCCGTAAGTATTATAGTATAATTATAGTATAAACTGCATGTATAATATTTATTTTGAATTAAACTCATTACTTTTAAATTTCACTCATTAAGGAGTATACATACTTAAAATGACTTCGTTTAAATATATGCACAGGTAATAGCACATTAAATATACATGGACGTTTTTTAACCCCGTCGTGTTTTTAATTTCTAAATACATTACTTTCCGTCCGATTAACTTAACAGTTTACACTTGCACTTCACATTCTGCATCATGTAATGATATTATACGTTTTCTCTTTGCTGGTCATATATAAGATATATATATACACCTATTTCAGTATTAAAAAAAATATATAGCAATAAAAAAACTACTCTTTCGTTTAGTCGTTTAGTTCTCTGGGATTCGGGCGGCGGCGGGAGCATTGCGAGAAATGCATTTTACACATTCGTATATAAGTGCGGGCGATTCGGTCGAGTGTGTTGACTTTATTAAAACTTCCACGAGATTAATCGTTGAAATCGCATAACGTCTCATCTTCGTATATCTAAGACATTGAAAAGAGTACGTGATACCCGCATGCTGTACTGTCTCCGACTTACAAACGCACTGCGTACGGCATAGCAAATGCGCGTGCAGCAGGAACAACTTTATGTTGTTATATTTAATATGAGAGCGAATTGAACTAAACTTAAAGGTAAGAATATTAACTATGCAACCATGGAAGTTATTTTCGATGTTATAATTTTAGATTGTACTTTAGGACATTTTTTTGGATTTTCTTAAATTTGTTTAAATAAAACCACTAAAGTAGGGAAAACGTACAATTTCACGATTTCATTATTTTATAAAAAAAAATAAGGACGACGTTTTCTACCAGAAATAATGATTTAATCAAAAAATCGCAAAATATCTTTTTTGTTACTTTTTTGATTTACTTTCTTATAGTATTATTGCTAAATCTTTTGAGCAATGGTTTATCGTTGCTTACGGATATAAATGAAATGACCTTATGTATCCTACCTCCCAAAATTCCTACCTACAACATTAGGGCTGCAGCCATTACCAGTATCGGCTCTTTTTTTAAATCGTCTGTGTTTATAATATCAAAATTCAAAAAAACACTTATCATATCTCGCATGAAAATTAAAATATAGAAAAACACTTACACGGTTAATATATTGTTCTTACTTTTAAGTTTGACAATAGGTAAATGTAGGTACTGTAATATGAAAATAAAAGCACAAAGTTGTTCTAGCTGAATGTTATTTCATACGTTTGTACAACTGTATAATATGGAGATAGCATGTCATGCGAGTATCATCTGTACGTCAACTTTAGAGGACGCTGTGCATGCATTTGTTTTCCCCAAATATACAAACGTAACACAATATACCTAATAGTAAAAGTGAGTTAAGCATAAACGTTTTTTGTGCTGATAGTTTAATATTAGAGTGAATGGACCCAATATTAAACTTTTGAGGGAATAACATATGCACGTGTTTGTGCACGTTGCCGGTTTTTTGTTATTTGAATTTTTGAACAATACGAGCGGTTGGTATATCACAGTTTAATCATGCTTACATTTCGTTTAAAAACCAAAACAAAAAAAAAAAACCCGTCATACAAATGCAAATAATGTTCTTCACTTGAAGTATGCATAAAAGGTAAATTCGCTCTAATAAAAATCACTAAATCGGTTCTGCCGAACCAATTATTTACATCTGTACTAAAGTGTCCTCTCAACGTCGCGATAGTATGAATTTTAATGTCGCAATTTAAATACATTTCCCAAGATCTCATGAGAAATGTATTTAATGTTTTTCTATTATCATAGCTAGACGTCTATTTCACACTGTATAGATAAATCGTCGGGTAACGATGCGTACTTATTGACTTATAATCAGGGCTCGGAACTTTATGCATTTAAAATTTACAGAGAACAGCTTAAAAACGTTAAAAGACGCTTAAAAAAAATTTAAAAAGCAAAACTGACAGATGACTCAGAGATGTTTACAATTTTCACCACCCCCCTCCCAACGGCTCTGAGCATTAAATACAATTTTCCAATACTATAAAAATGAATAACATAAAATATTTTTTTTAGTAATACATGTACTTACAGTTTTATTTAAAAACTTCTGTTAATCATTTTTGTGGGTTTCGAAAATTCTATTTTATAAGTTAAAGCCGTTATAGAGAAGACTTTTAAAAACAAACTACCATTTTTTGTACATTTAAACCTTTTATTTTACTTTTTGATAGGTTTTTTTTTAAATTTTAATTGCATAAAGTCCAGAGCTCTGCTTATTATACATTCGATCATATCATTTTTACGTTTTATTATACATTACCCAAACGAGAAACAATCAAGTAAATCACAGTGCCTATCATTTTTGAGACTGGTTTTATTTTTATAGCTAACTGCGAGTATTTCACAAATTAAGTATTGATTATATTATAACCAAACAATTTAACTTACTGTTTGTCAGTATGGCACGGCCTGTACAGTTTAAGGAATCGAATAAACATTTATTTTTTATTTTTTTCTGGCCAAAAACGTAAAGCGAAAAAAAAACGTATTTCATTGTTTTCAATACAATTATCGGAATGCCGATAAGTATTCCAGTAAGTTTAATATACATTATATTTAATATTATAACGAAATGAATAATGAAGAAAAAATACTAAAGTGAGATAATGTTCTTGCACTGGAGATAATAAAATATAAATTACCTACCCACATTAATTATTATGCTCAAAGCTCTTCAGTAAAATGATTTATTACCTCTGATAACATTGAGCAATATGAAGAAAAAAAAAATGTACATGTATATAAAAATACAAAAAAAAAAAAATACTTATTTCAGAAAATCCCCGTACAAAAGCCTTTTAAACCGATATTATTAAAAAGTTCAAAACTCGAGCGCGTTGCTCGATATTTATTTTATTTCCTACGAAATTAATATATTTATATAATTTGCGGTGTTATTTTTTTTCATCTTGTGGTAATTATTATAAGTTTTAATATTCATTAGTCTGAAATTTCGGTTTTTATTTGTGAACTACGGCACAACGCGAGTGAAATTTAAAGTATGTACTTGCAAAAGATTATGCACTAAATTGACCAAAAAAATAAAAAAATACGAACCATCCGATATTAAACTCTATATTCTGTTTTCGTATATGACGTGATTTTTTTGATTTTTGTGTTTTTCTTTTTTACTTATGTATTAAAGAAATAAAAAACGAGCCGATACTGCTAATGGATATGCTACTTTTGTAGCCATGGGTGTCTCACTGTTAGGATGTTGGACATTTTCACGATTTTCATCAAATGTTGAACTTTAAATAGGTTATTAAAAATAACTCCATAACGCTCAACTTTTTTTTTTTTTTTTTTGACAACAAATACCTTATGTTTAACCTCCTGTTAATTGTTCAATAATTTCTGAACAGCCAAAACAATTTTATCCACATACAACGAAATAAAAAATTAAAAACTTGGAAATGTTAAATGCCTATAAACAGCTTATAAATTGTCAGAATGTTTTAAAAGTTTTATCACGTATCGGAAAGGCTACATATTATATTCTTTATAAATTCCAAACAAAATCTACAATAGTGAAACTGTAATTTCCGTTAACATTTCAGTTGTTTTCCCGGTTTTTCCCTGTCATTAAAAAAACTACAAGGAAAATAATAAAATTATCTCCTCAATCCACCAGCTAGATCCAGTATGCTGTAAAAAAAAAAAGGTTTTTTTTTCGTTTCATGATGAATTTAAGTTGTTGAGTTGATAAAAAAAAAAAAAGCTCACGTTATAGTAAAACCAATACATGTGTTAAGAATCTAAAAAAATAAGAACTTCAAAAATTGTATATTTAGATGCAATCGATTTCGACCAACGTGTTTTAACTGCATTATATAGTACACAACAATAATTATAGTTACATTATTGATGTTATCCTTCATCATCCATTCGACTAAACATTCGGCCGACTAACAATAATAACAATTATCGTACTTACACGTCACTAAATCTATAAACGATAGATCACGGAATAATACATATACGTACATTATCATTTTCACACGGAAAACGGTGTTTTCGGATGGTTCCCGACTACAATGAGTATTAACCATTATGATAGCGTTAATAAAATACCTTTAATATATTATATTATAATAGTTTATCTGCACCAAATAAATGATTTCAAAAAGTTTTCTGTTATTTTTGAAATTTACCATTTTACATTCTTAGTGTAAGAAGCCGTTAGTTTTAGTATGGGAGTTTTTTTCCCCTAGAAAAATCTTTTTCCATTTAGTAAAAATACTCCAAAAATTTTTCATACCGTACTTCAAAATGTGCGAATTTTTCACTCAGTAGTACCGACTTTATTTAAATAAAAAATGTCTAAATTCTCAATAGTTGATCTGAAACAATAATAAAATTATCAACCATTGATGTCGGTACATTGGTTTTCCTTTAGTTCGATTTCTAGGTTGTTTTATACTTAATATTGCAAAAAACACAATTATAATACTAACTAATCTTACCAGTTTATCGATCTCCACTGAAAATCATTTTATGGCTGCGATGATTTATCGTTGTTTAGTGTATACACTAAATTACCGTAAATGTCTATAATTTTCACACTTTCTACCTACCAAAGTATACCTGGTTTTTTTTTTTATTATACTTAATGCAAATCTGTTATTGTTTCTACAAAAAAAAACCAAGTTAAACGTTTTTAACGTTCTGCATAAAATTATAGTCTCATTCGAGTAAGCAGTATATTTTATTTTAATTTTTTTTACCAAATATCGATTTAATGGAATTTTCTTGGGTTTTTCTTTTGGTATAGTTAAAAAAATAATTTTAAAGAAATAAAATAGTAAAATCTTGATTCGTTTACAAACTACAGTTTGCGTTATCGAGCAACAATATTTTTGTATTCTCCGATCACCGATGATGATATACGTTTCCATTATCATAGAATAATAAACAAAAAAAAAAAAACATCGGAAAATGGAATTTGCTTTTTTTTCATCGCTATATCAACTTTTGAAAACATCTATCTTAACTGTTGACATATTTTTAGATACCGAGAGAAAAGAATTTTCTTTCGTTTAGAAAAAAAATAAAAAAAACTCAACAACCATTAAGATTGATTTACATACGGATAACACAAGCATCAGACAAAACACATAAAATCAATCGTTTCCAAAATAACGGATATAATATTATCATGAAGAAGGTGATAAAATTATTTTTAAATAGGTGCTAATCGGTTCTAATGTTCCTGCGTGTAAAATATACATATAAAACCGTGCAATTCAAAAACAATTAAGAACGTGCAATACAAAAAATTCTTCGATCCTGGTAAAAAAGCACATAATAGTTATAGGTACTATTTAAATTGCCCATTAAATTCATTTCATGGTTTGTTGTGAAAAAAAAAACTATTTGTTAACACTAAAAGTGGGTAGGTACATCGTTTAAACACTATAAAAACGTAATAATATTATAATAATAACAGCCTTAATACACAGTTCGTATAGAATATCTATGTACGGTGGACATGTAACATATATATTTATGTATAATAGCTATTTGTTGGATTTCGTCGTGGGATTCTAAATCACATAACATTAACATTTAAATTCACTTACGCGGCTCGGAGATAGGAAATAAACTCCAACCATTTTTTTTTTTTTTTTTTTTTTTAATTTATTAAAAATATAATTGTATTAAAAAAGACTAACATGCTTCAGATTACGGGTGCACACTATTGTAGGTATAAAGTTAGGAAGGTAAGATGGATAATTTAATGTAATGATAAATCATTACTAATGAAAAACGATTATGAGCCGTATTATTTTACGATTTAAAAATAATACACTTCGTACATTTTCCCGTTTCCCTACGTTTTTTCCCATTTATTATGAATTTTAAAAGGAGGTCCTTTGAGTTTTTTTTGGTCCAGTTGCTACAATCCTTTGCCTCCCCTAATACGAGCTTGTGAACGAAAAAAATGAAAACACTTTTTATTATGATGAAACTAATAAGCTTTTCGTTTCACTTGGAACAAAAAAAAATACTACACTTGGAATCCGGAAAAAAATTTCTGGTAAAAATAACCAAATCGAAAATAATGAAACCGTAATTTCAATAATGCACCATTAAGCAAAATTTTCTTTCAAATAAAAATACTACACATAAAATGCAAGATTTTTTCGTATTAAATGTGTTAATAGACAAGGGAAAAAAGCACATAGTAAAACATCACGGTAAAACCGAAATTAAAAATTGACCTTTTTTTACCAACATCCCCCTCCCAGGAACCCTTGTGGTCTACTGCAGTAACACCAAAATCGATAACGATGTAAATTATTATTGTTGTAAATTTTCGTGCCGGTGTCATATTTTAACGGCAAACAATGCGCGAGGTGGCCACGGCACTACGGTCGACGGACCACGTATGAATAATGAATGGCGATTCCGGCTGGAGGAGAGGGAGAAGCGCAGAAGTTTTCACAAAAAGAACGGGCGGACGAGAAGTTTTTACCGATGACGATGGATCGACACCGCGGTAATGACGGTCCCCACGGGTGAATGCTATTTGCATAATATTATATACGTCTTTTGTCGGTTTATAAATGTCGCGTGTCCGGCACCGGTACCGTTTTCAATTATTATATTTCCCGCGATAGTCCGATTGGCCACCCACTCGTTCAACGAGTTTTTGCAGTGCATTCGCGTGAATACAATATCCTAATGCGAATTACACCCACGCCGATTATGTGGCACGAGCAACAGACGAGAAACGGTGTACAACTATCAAAATCGTAGTCAAATTTCACATTTTAACTTGTAACATGACATCAGTGGCGTGATTAAAACTTCTGATATCCGTGGCGAAAATGCATGTCACCGCATAAAGAGCAATTCGGCTGTAGCTCCTAAAATCATAACCGCCACTTCAAGAAGAAAAGGTTATACTGAAATTTGGTCAAAAATTTAGCGTAAGCAACATAAAGGCCGATAAGTAAAAAAATTATATATGTGTGTGTGGGCACCCCTCCCCCTCACAATCACTTTGACAAAACAATGGTTAACACCTAACTGTCTTTATTCAACTGTACATACACTGAAAAACAATGTTTTGGGCCCTGATTTGGGGCCACTAAATGTCATGAGTCTGTGACTCATTGCCCGCTACGCTACCCTATCGGTACGCCACTGCATTATATAAATGTCCATAACGTTTTACTAGATTTGATAACACATCTTAAAAATAAACAAATGATATAAGCTCCGATCCCTGATTATTATTTAAGATCAGTGCTCCTCTCCCTCGTATAAGTCTGTTATTGGAATATAAATCATTGACCGTAACTTCAAATAGTTCACCATTACTTCGTTTAGGACCTTGGGTCTCCTCCATTCGTGAGCTCATGTCGGAAATAAATCGAAAATTACTCACGATTTATTATGTGAAATAATACGTCAGGTGGTTACATTGAAAAATCATTTCGTTTCTTTCATATAATTTTCACATTTCTATTATCACTGGAACAGGAAACTTACTGCCTGAGTCCAGTATTACTGTATTCACATTTAGACTTTCACGATTTTATAAATACTATCGATTTAAGCATAAATATATGACAAAAAATGTATTCACCGCATAACCGATTACGGCGTTTAAGGGGCTGCGTGTAAAGGCAACTCACACGAGATTGTTGAAAAAATTAACAAAATTTTGAACCCGAAAATAATCAAATTCACTTTGAAACCAACTTACACTTGAATTCCCGTGTAGCCGTGTCGCATATCACAGAGTATTCATTGTTTTGTAATCACATGCAATGTTTTCAAAAACATTCTCGCGTAAAACAAAACAAAAATATAAGTAGGTACTCTCAATGTTCAAAGCGATTTTAGATATAAAACACCTGGGTAAAATAAAAATACCGGTGAGCAGCGGAGCTTCGCCGCTATGGAGTCGAATTTTCTTTCACCTATTTTTTATCGTATAATATAGAACATTGTAAAACACTAAATACCCGAATACTATAATATTAATATATAATACTACACTATATACTATATATAATATTATATTATATCACATCCAAAAAAATTATAAAATTTGATCATACAATGGATGACAGTTGAAATTTAAGCTCCCAAAAACCACATCCTTGATACTAATAACAGCCATAAAAAAAATGACATCCCTTTAAACTAATATTTGAAGGGTCTGTAGGGGTGTACAGAGTTAAAAAAAAAAAAACAATCTTCTTATAGAACACTTCTAAAAACATGGTGAAATTCAACTAAAATAATATAACTTCTATCCACATATAAAAAAATTACAAGTTCCGAGTTTGAGCTCATTTGGTTCTGAGGTAGCCGCTAAAATTTTCAAAATGTAGCGGGAAAATGTATCATGAATAGTAAAAGAAAATGTATTAAATCTCCGAAAGAATCTATAATTTGCTGATATTGAATAATAATTTAAATAGTATGTCTTCTAGTATTTTTATTAATTTTAAATCTCAAAGACCTTTGACAACAAGATATTTTTCACGTTAATGATTCGCGTGTGTAATTAATTGAGCCCGTACTACCTGAAATTTATTCGATTATTTTTTTTTAAATTCTATTTTAAGATTTTGAGCAAAACAAGGAATTTATTGGTTTAGAAGTTTTTTTGTGTATTTATATTGATATCTTTTCTACCATAAATCATTCTCTAACCAAAAACATTATAAGAACATTCTAGTAGTCGTTTTGAACTTAGTTGATGAATTAAGGTAGACATTTTTTGATTTTCCTTGTAGTTTTCTTAATAATTGGGAAAAACTAGTAATTTGTTGTACATTTTTTGTTGATTTTAAGATTACCTTGGTAAAAAGGGAAAAATAAGATTATAATAATAATCTGTTCAGAATCGTTTTTCGTTAGCAATGGTTTACCATTGCGCACAGATACAAATAAAAATTATTTTTGAATTATCTTCTCTTCCTTGCTAAAATAAAATAAGCGTGTTTTTTTTTGATTATCACATAGGTAATAATTTACAAATTAAAGTAGGTATACCTGTAAATGTCTTGTGTTGCAGCGGAAACTACAGTGAATTATTGTTTTACTTGTCGCAGTATTACCTGGAAAAGGGGTTTCCGGACCAAAAATAACCTATAATATTTAAACCGAAAAAATGCCTAAAAATACTGACTAGGTACAATCCCAATTGTTCGCATTTTTAAACCCGTGTAGCGTGAAGGAGCGATAACCGCTGCCTATAGTAGGTACGCGATAAATGAATGCTATATTCCGAGTATGGAATATTCATAAGTTTTTATTATTCGCGCAGTCGTCGGTTGAATATTTAAAAAAAAAAAAAAAAAAGTAAAAATCTTAAGTTATTGGTTTTCTTTTTTCTTGTTTTATTCCGCGTTAATATACGAGCATATTACAATCGATTCCCAGTATATTATTATACGAGTGTACGCGAATACTTTTGCACAAACAAATCGAAACTGCGCAGCTCGAGTGTTGATCGTAACAGAATCACAAATAATAAAATTACTCGTCGACGCGATAGCACTCGTGTCAACACATAATATTAGACACTCATAGGTAGGTGTATGTACATTTCCGTCAATCTGAAAATCATAATACAAACCGACTTTTACGAAAATCGTTTTATACGTTTATAATAATATTGTAGTCGTCGAATTACTAGTAAATAATATAATGTTCCGTTCGATAAATACAAATAATCGTCGTTTAAGACGATTGAAAGCACATAGTCTGTTTTTTTTTTTTTTCAATCTTTGCAAGTGGATAGCTTTAAAACTGATTAGAAAAGAAGACGTTACACGCGTCACGCATTTATTGCGCTCGTTTTACAAACGCACGACGCACCGAATATTTTACATTTAACTATTTCGGGCAGATTTCATTAGTATCAGAGCGAATTTACCTGCTATCAAACTTTAAAGAGAAGAACACTCCTGTATTACCGATTTCAAACAAGATAGTAGATATTGTTAACACGATTTGGCCAAAACGCGAGATGAATTCGGCCCCAATACGATTTTGGTGACGTTCATATTTTAGTCGGTTTAGACCTACTTTTGAAAGGAATATTGGAATATAGGAATATTGTGTTTGACAGGTTTCAATTTCAAAAACCGATTGTGATTCATTAAAAATTAAAACAATACGACATCAAACAAAAATATTGTTACGATTAAACACGTATCTATAGTATTTATAACGATAATACGATGAAACAATAACCTGCAAACGCAAACAATAAATCTAATTTAACACAAAAAAAAAAAAACCGTATGCACGCCGAAAAAGTTTTAAATAACAGTATACAATTTATTATTATTATGAAAATATGCAACGATTGTAATAATAAGCAATAAATCTAAATAATGTATATATTTGTTTTCCATATTATAACAATATAAACTCAAAGAAATAATATAACGAGTTATATGTTCAATAACGAAAATGAATAAACTATATAGTTTTGGATGCGCGAACGCGTTAAAATAAAATATGCTCATTCATTTGTTTGGTTAACAAACTTTAAGTAAAACGTATTAAATAAAAAAAAATAGTTAAAGCTTATCTGCAACACAGTTGAAAGTTTAACAAAACACCCACGACATGTGCAGCAATACATCATTTTCGGGGCGTTGCATCTGTTGTAACATTTTTCATAAACGGTTCAGTCGTCGTCATTCATTCGGTTTTTTTTTTTTCAAAATTAATTATGATCCATAACAGTCATGAATTCAACTTTAACGACTTCGATTTAATATAATAATATTCATTTATTGTTCAATGTGAGATTTCTAGCGGTAAAAATTACAAATAGCGTATAATTATATTATGTGGTATTACTTTTACGACGTATTAAATTAAATTAATGCAAAAGTGTATTTATTTAAATCGATTAATCAATCTTATCGATCGAATAGCAAACGATAATCATAAGATTCAGATTTAAAAGGAACGTGGATGTACAGGAAAAGTAGAAAAATGAGATATAGTCCTTTGCCTCTAAAAATCTTAGTTCCTTGATTTTTTTGCATGGCGAGTTAACGCCAAAAGATACATTTTTGTTAATGGAAGTTATCAACAGCTATTATTATGATTGTAGAATCCAAAATCTCAAATTGTCAAAATTTCAACGGTAATTAATTATTATAACCAATTAATATTATTTAAATATTACTTAATTTGAAATATAGGCATCTATACTGCGTTACAAAGTGTTTTAAACAAAATGCATTAAACCTATGTTTAAAACGTTTTTAATATAATTGTATACAATACTCATATACACAATAGATTTCAGTTGATACAGGTAAATTAAATACAATGAGGTATAAAACTATAAAAGCTATCTTAAGATCATGCTCTATTAAGGTATTTCTCTGTAGCCAGTACAACTATATTTAAATAACTATTGTTTAATTCTAAAAATAAAAATTATCAATAGGAATTTGTAAGTATTTAGTAAATATTAATTATAATTACAATTTCTACATAATTAATTATACGTCTATCGTACTAACTTAAATTAAAAATTTTCAAAACGTTTTAAATAAAACAAAAATATTTTAACCGTGTTTAAAACATAATATTTATATTAAATTTAAAAAAAAAATTAAAACATAGTTTTAAAAAAATTAAACTTTTTTTGTATTTCATATTTTATTTTTGTAAAAACTGTTTTTTTAACTTCGTATACCTATCTTATAACAAAAATATACGAAAGTCAATTAAAATAAAATAATTAAAAAATCACAATGTACAATTTTAAAAAAATGTTTTCATTTTTAACAGAAGATTACCTATTGGTTTAATAAACTAAGCTTTTGTTAATCAAGCTTTTATAATTTTATTTTTCGGACCTTCTAAAGTGGACGAATTTTATATTAAGAAATATTATTTTTTCTTTCAGAAAATACTTTTTCGGTTAGTAAAAATGGTCAAAACTATTCATATGGTACTTAAAGGATGCGAATATTGCATCCGCTAACACTTCTTTTGAAAGGAATTTCTAGATTTTCAATATTTTTTCGAAAAACTAAAATAACCGAAAACGAAACATTACAAGACGCATCGTATTTTTTTATTATTTTTTCTTTTTCGTTATTTTTAGGTTACTATGGGCTACCGGGATAATACGTACACGAGTATTTCTAATAGAACCCGACCAGTTTACTGAGGTTCACTCAGAATAGGTTTTTTTGATTGCAATGATTATTGTTGCTATACGAGCTAAATAGCCCTTTCCTAAACTTACCCTCCCCTAATTCCTTGGCCAGCCTGGCTTTGATAATACGTATGTCAGTCTTTTTAAAATAAATATTATTTTTCGAACTAATCATTTTTACATACAAATCCGTTTCTTGAAGCATTATTTTTAGGCATTGCCTGAAATGGTTTAAAAACGTGTATGTAAATACATAATATAACGACAATAATAAATAAATTGTAGCAACAATTACAACTAGCGTAACAATAATAAATATTAGTAATGAGTTATTACTAATTATAGTGCAAAAATAAAAAAAAAGTGTTGTCCGTAGTTCGTAATTTGATAAATTTCAGGTCGGCCTCTACTACCATTAAATCGTTCAATAATTTCGGATCAGGAGGAGAATTTCGGGAGAACATAATTCCGTACATTACGAATTGTCCGTTTTAATGAACTTAAAATGATCGCGATTGTACACTAACTGAATAACGACCTATACGGTCTGACGGGAATCTAAAACCAACCGCTGAAAATATTTAGGAAATAAAAATATTGTAGAAAAAGAACTGGTGACGAATACAATAATTATTGTGTGTGCGTAATTCTACGTGTTCTCTAATGGGTCAGTCATACACTCCGGACCGCAGCCGGAGATGACAAAATGTTTATCATCGATTCTGAGTGCAAGCAAATTATAAGCTATTTGATTCCACTATGATTTGGGTTTCTTTTTTCTCAACATACACTTTTTCGGTTAGTTTACATGGTCCGATTTCCTCGCGCAGTATCTCGAGAGACGCGGAATTTTCGTCCGGTCGTACTTTATTTGAAACGTTTATCGACATTTTCACGTCCGATGACGTTTTTACGCTCGGAAAACATTTTTTCGGTAAGTATAGGGTAAAGGGACCACAAATCATTCGCGTCGTACATTAAAAGACGCGGATTTGTCGCCCGGGCGTGTTTTATTTTGAAAACGTCGGTTAAGGGCGCGGGACGACCGCGAAATCGGAGCTTTATAGCGCGGGCGGTCGTTAACCCCGTCGTAGAGGCGGCTGCGGATTTAATTTCGGTATGCGTGCATAGGTATACAGGTATACAAATATATTATTTATGCATAGTGTATGCGTATTATTCCGAAACGTTCCGTATACGGGAAAGGTCGCGAAAAAAACGACGTAGGTTTTTTTTTTTTTTTTTTTTATTTTATTTTACCATTAAGATGTAGTTAGGGACCGAAAGATATTATTCAAACGACACGCGGCACGTGTGTGCCGGCGTTACACGTACGCCCGGCCGTACGTGTGCGAGCTCGCGGGCACTCTCCGCGGTCGGACGAAAGCCCCTCGCCGGGCCCGGCCGGTAACGTCACGCAGACGGCCCTCGAGTGTTCGTAATGACTGTCAGTCTTTCTATCGCTCTCTCTCTCTCTCTCTCTCCCCATTCCTCCCCCCCCCACAACGCGATCTCTCACTCGCTCTCTTTATCCGGTGACAAATGACGCTGCCGCCGTCACCGCACCGGTCGCGTCCGCCCTCGCCTACCTCGGCCACCGTACACCACGTCGCAGTATTATTATTTTGACTTGTGCCGCGCGCTCCGTCCTCGCCGGCGCCGTCGAGCGAGGATCGGCCGCTGCGGTGTTTTCCCTTCTCGAAAAAGAAAACGCCGACTACGACGACACCGCCGCCGCCGTGCCGGAAATGCCGAAATGCCGAGAGATAAAAAACTAAAAACAATGAAACGCGCGCTTTACTCGCCGTTCCCGGACGCGTATTAACGTTCCCTGTACTCGCAGACGGAATCCTCCGACCAGTCCCCGTCCTTTGACCGCTCGTCGCGAATCAATCATAATCGCCGTTTGTCCGATTCGGCTCCGACAAATTCAGCATAAATCAGTGTTGGCGTGCAAATACAAAACGTGTATGTCGGTTTACACCTATCGGAGTGACAACGTCCGGAGTTCACGAATTCGTTATCGTCAGACACGAACGCTGTAAAATGTTTTATTTTTGCTTAAATTTTTATCGACCATCGAAAAAATCGATTTCATTGGTAATCGTCGGTTGTTGCCATGGAGCCTGAAGTTGCAGGCGTTATGTTCAACACAATATGTGGAATTATAGCTCAGGAATGTACGAGTATTGCATCTCTTACGGGTGGCTACTTGTACGAAAATTTCGATATGTCATGCCCGTGGTCGCCCGGGTCGGATGAATGGACTCGTACATTTAGTCTGCATATACGTGGTGACCGTTTATGTTATCAGAATTACATCCAATCCACGAGTTCGTGAACCTCGGACGTAGTTACTCTGATAGGTGTGAACCGGCCTTAAATCGTTGAATAACCACTACGGGTTTAAATAAAACTGTGGTTATAAAATCAACAAAATATTGGACAATGATCATTGGATTTGAACCCAACAATCCATTGAGACGTCATCAGTTTAGACATGTTGAGGTGTATGGTAATAAGTATACCTAAATACCAAAACCAATAACGCCATACATCTGCAGGCTAATCAGAGGATTTGCTTCTGTGGCTCGTTTCGATTAGAAAATACGCGTCCCGGATATACTATTCGTAAAATGTTGTGTTATTATTATTGGTGTTGTTGGTGCTACTGTCGTATACTATACTAAGTGTATTATTAAATTTCGTTTCATCAATATTTGCACACGCAAAACGACGTGTTTCGGCCTATGTGGCTCGAAACGCTCCGGACAGAATATTATTCTTAAACCGATGTTTCAGAATTTATTATGCTATATTTTTGTGTATGTCTCGTAACTTTCAGACTATCGTGTTATACCTAATATTATTATTTACTATATATCATTGTCGTTTTCAAGTATTAATGACCATTAGCTTTTGGTAATTTAAGGAGATTAAAAAAACATATCTTTATAGTATAGTTGAAGGCCTTTAAATTATTTTAGCAGTTAAATATTTTAACGATCTAACGGTAAAGTGAGTACATCGAGAATATCAAAAAACCCCCGTTTGATGGGTGGAGAGTTCCTCTCAAAAGGTCATCTTCGGGATTGATAATATGTTCATCAGACATAGACTAATTGTATATCGAAATTCAGCTTTGACTGAACTTTAATGTGGTAGTTTCAAACTGACGGCGGTCTGTTACTACCAATCTACAATCAAATTATAAGTCGCTATAAACTTCCAAGTTTACCATATAACGATTTATATTGCAATATTATACATTTGCGATGTGTGAATTTCGTTGTTAAAAATAATGATGGTCTAATTAAAATTATTATTGACATTTTTTTTTTCTTTTTTAGTTTAACTAACCTAAAGTCAATGGAATAGTTCGATTTGAATTATAGTGTCTTACTAGAACAGTTAATAATTATACAAAAATAATATACCTACCTACTGCAATTAGTAATAAACAGTTCTAGGTAATATATACCATAAAAAGTAAATTACTTTTAAAACTGTACCATAGGTAAAAAGTATTAAACGGTGTCAATCTTGTTTATTTGTAATTTGTTGAATGTAGGCATCTTTCATGACATATCTAATGTATTAAAAAAAGAAAAATGTTGAATATTTTTGAAAAATATTTATATTCGAATACGATTCATACAAGTATTTAAAAGCGTATTTTGAATGAGTATTTTTTAAAAGTATTTTTCACGAGACTGAGTGGCCTACTTGATATTTCGACGCCCTTGTTCAAAAACTGAATAGGCCGAACTAGACGTGTTCGTTATAATTCACGAGAAAAAAGATGTAAACTGATTTAGGAATATGTTAATAAAACATCGTAACATTATAGGTGAAATATTGGAAGCCTAACTATATACTAAATATTCGGAACAGCAAAATACAATGTATCGTAATGTAAAATCGTAGGTGGTTGGAATTTTTATCGGTATAGATATTTCACTGGAGACGGAAAACGTTCCTTTTGAGCGCTTAAAACCCAATTCACCGTCATAAATCAATATTAATCGATATGTTTGCCAAATTCTTCGGAGTTAAATAGCTTAAATCCCGTATGTATACATTATAATATTATAAACTATCGCGTTACTTCACCTACTCGCAGTTAAAAATATATTATGATTTTGGTCCATACCGTATTTTATACGACATAATAAACGTACAAATAACTTAAATTGATTGCTTCTTAATAGTAGAGTCGTAGAGGTATCCATTTTAATATTCTCTACGGTATTTCTTATAGCTTGATCAGTATGCTTAAATAAATTTGATTTTTAGATTCATTATTAAATTTACGATTTTGTTTTTTTTTTTTTTTTTTTTAAATAATAACTCAGAAATTCAGGAAAAAAAGATAAAAATGGAATTACCTTATAATTTTTTGACTATTACATTAAAATAATTTATACATCTTTAATCTTACAGACATTAATAAATTATTTAAAATTAAATACATCATAATGTAGAAACTGTTAATGGGTGTGCCTCTGTAGTAGCCTATAGATGGAAAATTGGGAAGGTAACATAAAACTATTTAATTTATATTTGTAAGCGATGATAAAGCCATTACTTACGAAGAACAATTCTAAACGAGGTTCAATCATCATACATGTTTTAAAATAGCGTAATATTGACGAATTTCATCAAAATTTAAACTTAAAACCATTATGAAAAAAAACTAATATGTATAATACATTAAACTTAACTTTGTTTTACCGCTAAGTATAGCTTACAATGAATCTCGTTTTAAATTTTCAAACATCTTTCTCGAATTAAATCAGTGGTTCTCATTATTTTTTTATTCGTGCGACTCTTAACCACGACAATCCAACCCTGCTTCACCTTACCGTCAAAGTAAACATAATACATTGAAATATTAGGTTTTAAATAATTTTAAACTATAGATTTTAGAGAGAAACTAACGATTTCATCTTTTAAAAAACACAGTAAGTTTGCATAAATATAATTAACATGTTTGAATAAATAGATAGAAACGGTTATTTAAAGATAAAACTATGTGACATGCCCGTTAGTGTATATAATTTTGGTAACAGCAATGGTTGAAGAGTGAGTGATGGAGAAAGGATTATATGTTGTTACGACGCGACGGTGGTCGCGATTACACGATGGTGACAGCAATATAATACAATTTTATTAGACATATTAAAAATTATATTATTTTTTTCCCTCTAAGATTTCGTGTCACCTCTATACTGGATCCACGTCACCCCAAAGTGACATGTCACCCAGATTGAAAACCAGGTTAAACAATTGTATCCGTGCTTATCAAAGAAAAACCGATCAAGCGATAATTTTAAATAGGCCAAATCAATGTATGAAGCAACAAATTGAGGGGTAGGGAAAAACCCGTACCAACGGTAATGATAATTAAATTTTAGTCGTTTACGTTAAAACACAATAAGTGTGAGCTGAGACGTGTAAATAAATTGAAAAAAAAAAATAAGTTTCAAAAAGATATTCGAGGGACAGGATAATCAATATCTATATAGTATCTATATAGGTCCGTAGAGAAATTATTTTGTGTTGAATATCGACTACCTATGTTGTTTTTTTGAAATTATTGTTTACGTGCTGTTCGAGTTTAAGTTTCTAATAGCACACTATGCATACACCAAAAGCGCAATATTAATATTTTAAAATTCTAAATATTATTAAAGAAAATATATAAAGCTTATTTAATTATTTTACTATAAAATGACATACATATTATTGACAATGCATCACTGTCAACTGAACTCCGCTCAGAATCGTGTTTTCGTAAGCAATGGTTTATTGTTGGTTATAGATATAAATTATTTCCCCCTTCTATATCCTAAATTCCCAACGTCTCACCAACAACAGTGGTTGTTTCCATCGAGCTAAGTATGTTCGTCTTTTTTTGAATAATATAGAAAAACCGAAAAATACGTAAAAAGAACGGGAAAATGTACTAAAATAATTCTATTATTATTTTAAATTTCAAATTTTTATCTTATCTAATAGAAAAATGCATAGAAATTCAAAATTTTAATAGAAAACTTATATTCGCTCCGTGGATAAAATTGTTAGACCAAACAGAAATGCATGAGAATTTAACAGGAGGTTCATTATGTAATTTAGTATTTTTATAGAGTTTTAATATCAAATTTTAACGAAAATCGTAAATATTGCGACTTTCAAAACATGTATAGGTAACCGAACTTTCATTTCGAATCGTTTTTTGTTGCTTGTTAGAAATGGTTTATTGTTACTTACAAGTATAAATTAAATAACTTTGGGTTTCCTACCTTTCTAACTTCCTACCAACAGCAGTGCCACACCCGTCCCGATTAGCTTTTTTTTTTTAAAAAAATTTAAACAATTAAATATTTTGAAAGCATTTTTATAAAATTTACAATTTTTTTCAGAGCCCATTACGACAATTATCGGAGGACCAGACATGTTCATTAATAAGGGCAGCACTATGAACTTGACTTGCATTATAAAGCATAGTCCAGAACCACCGCCTTTGATTTACTGGACGCATGATTCAAAAGTAAGTGTTTCATTTGACTTTTATTTCCAAATCATTTTATAGTATTTATACAATATATTTTGTAAATTTTTAAATACATTAATTCAATGTACGAAAATCTTGAATTTGGACGGTTGCAAAAATATAAACAGGGTACTACAAAAACTATAGTTTATCAGTAAAACGATACATAAAGATATGTGTTTTATAAAAATAGACACATTTTATGAACGTTACGTACTGGAATTCAGTAGGTAACAAATATGTATTATTAAAGTTTTGAAATTATTCTAAATTATATAATGTACTCTTCAGAGGCTGTTTAAATATAGTTTGTTTGGTTATCTGTATAACAAAGATTTGTGGTGGGGGTGGATATTTAGTTGGTCAATTGTTTGCGAAATTCCGTGAACTAGTTTATACAAAATTCTAATGACTATTAATTTTATAGTCTACCTTTATCAAATGCATTATCAAAAACAAACTGTTGGTTATAATCAGTAAAATAAATTTTTCCTAACCTTAGATCATGTACATTATATTTTATATCTTTAGGCATTGTTTTTTTTTTTTTTTTAGTAAACAAAATTAGAAATTATTTACGGTTTTACCTATAATTATTTTTCAGTTCGAATTTTTTTAAAAACCCTTTAAAAAAAAAAATCAAAAATTTATCTGTCCGACGCATCAATAAGAGAAAATTTTCTTTCAAAAAAGGTGCTATACTTAATACTTCGGAGCAAGATTTCCGGTGGAAATTCACAAAAAGAAAAAAAAACACATTTCTTATAGTAAAAACCAATTGATCTCTCGCTATGCTCCAGATCTTAAAAAAAAAAATGTATAAGGTTGTATTAAACAAACACGCAATTCACATTTATATTTTCTAAATATGTCTAAGCGAATGGAATTCATAAATTAAACGAATTTATTCTCGTTACAAGTAACATTAAATTTCACGAGTTTCAAAAATATAATAATATAGTACATTATGGCTTTAAAACATATTATACTAAAGTAGATTAAATGTACAATGAATATAAAGTTAACTTTTTTTTTAAACAATATATTATAAAAAGATGACAACCTCCCTCCCCCAAATAGCAAAACTTTTACTTGAGTCGAGTCAGTTCAAATAGACGATTTCTACTATAATGAAAACTAATTGTATTGCAGAATAATTTACTTTATATAAAAAGAAAAGGAATTACTGGAGTAAAAACCAATAGAACTTTCGCTACTCTCTCAATCTAAAACTAATTGTTATGCTAGTGATTTCTAATGGAAATTTAGATTACTTCCCCTACCATATCGAATTATTGAATTTTGACTTTGGACGCACTGCCACTTACAGTGTTTTGTGTTCGATTTTCAATTGTACCTAATAAAACGTAATGCGAAACAAATAAAAACGATAATGAAAAAAAAAACCACCAAAATAGTGCAATGATCTATACTTAAATTACTGTGCTCTCGCTGGTCATGGCGTTCACAAATACCAAAGGATATTGCCAATATCGTATCGTGTGATCGACTATCACCAACCAACTGCACGAATCGATTGTTGAATAATTAATTATAAATATTAGTTACATAAGTGTTTAATGGTCTATACCACGAAGCGTTATTTCTTTGGTATTTTTTTTTTTTTTTTCGATTACATTTTCAGAATCTAAATGTACTCTATCCATTTTTGATGGGTAGGTAATGGAATTCATGAAAGTCGTTAATCGTATATTCTGGAATTTCTGGCATTATCCGTTATCCGTTATCCGTATACCGTAATACTCCACGTTTTTCAAAATTTTAAAATAATTTATAATAACAATTTTGAATAATATTATAGAATAGTTAATAAATTTGAATGATTTCTATATTGTTCAAATATATTATTCAACCAGTGGTAGTATAGTGTGTGTATAAATACACATATATTAAATATTTAGTTTCATCAAATGGATAGGCAAATTATGAAAACGAATAAACGGTATTAAGCTTGTGTATCAATTTCGTGTAATTGTTAAATATTTCACCAAGTGGAAAAAAAACGGTTTTCATTTCGTGAACAGAATAATTTTTCATGGAATACACAATTCCATCAAGAGAATACAATAAATATGTGCATATACCTGTTTATTATGTACTGTTAAACAAAGATACGATACATTTATTTAAAATAATAATTTATTCGATTATTGCAGTCCACTTTAATTGTTTGTATGACTCAATAAACTGTATGTAAAACTCGATTTAAGTGGATTTTTCACAAAAAAAAAATGTATATTATTTGCCGACTTAAATTCAGAATTAAGACTATATAGGTCATAGGTGTATTTTATGCATATTTTATATGGGTAGTGCAGTATTCAAAAATTAGCTCCGACCACATCTTATATACAATGAATAGATATTGTAATTTTAAAATATTCATGGAATTTTTTAAATTGTTTTTTTTTTAGATTTATAAAACAGTATCGCGCGATCTGAATATAATATAAATGATCAATATCTTTTTATAGTATCCAGTATTTTGTATCAAATATCATGTGATAAAAATAAAATAAAACCATCTAATTGAATATTATTATTTATTTATTTTGTTTTTTACTTTTATGACTTGTAGCATTCCTTACTTTTGTCTTTTATATTTACTTTCCTCCGTATAGTTTTTTCATATCTCTAATATTAAATGAGATATTCAAGAGATTGCGTACTCATCGGGTCATAAATAATAAAAGTTTCCTAAATAAAAATCCGGATCCACTACTTTACGACGACAATGAACCTTCATTTTTTTTTTTCAGTTTTTTATATTTTTAATATCACTCCCCCGTGTACTTTACCACGTTATTTAAGTTGAAAGAAAAAAATATCACTGAACCAAACTTTTAGTAGACATGTAACAAATAAATATCAAAACCAAACCAAATTCTCGTAAAAAAAAAAAAATAAAATAAAAAAGAATACATTTTTTCACGCGATAATATTTATGTCGGGTGAATTGTTTTTCACGTGTTATTGTTTGCCACTGGGCATAGCAATACGATTATAAAAACAAAAGGAGGACCCCACTCATTTTGGCCTAGACGCGTACATATACTCTAACGAGGTTTGGTTTGCAACCGTTCCCCGGATTTGTTTTCATTTTTTTTTTTTTTTCGTTTTTCCCCGCCGTTATTATTATTTCACCGTCGGAATCCAATTGCATTTGCACATAACCAGAAAATTAATCGAAAAGCGGATAAGCTTAACAAAATAACAGGACACCTCAAACGCATAATAATTATTATTTTTCAGTATGCTACTTTATATTATTATTATACTCGTATAATATTTTACCAAGCCATTACATACTTATACAATTTGTACGGTTATAACTAAAATATTGGGTTTATTTCATTGATGAAACTCGAATAAATGTATAGTTACTTTAAGAGCACTTGAAAAGAAAGAGATTTGGGAAGAAGGTTACGGAGTGAGCTTAGCCTCCCCCTGCAATCTTCCAAAACTCTACTTAAAATTTGTTTTTTATTTGATGAGCCGATTTTAATATAATATTATATTAACGGTAATTCTAGTACCTCCGGATTCCCTACCACCGAAAAAATGGGTATCGAATGTCAACATAAGTCCAGTCGTGGTTACTGACATCGATATTGTCGTAATTCGTTAAGCGAGAAATTTAATTTGAGTGCGCATACTACCGACGTCCAACATTCAAATACAACGATATCCGCATAGAAAATAACCTGATAATATATTGAGTATATTGCTTATTAAATGTATCATAATTATATGTTGGATGTGTAGCGTATAAAACGAAGATATTACCGATATTCGTGCAAACTAAATTATGAAACGTGCGCATTATAATATTATATAGGTAATGATAATACGGCCCTTACAGATTAGTATATGTCTGTCGTTCGGCTTATTCTGTGGTGTGAAACGTACGAATCGAAAATGTATTTAATCGTCGTGTTCGCTGATACGAATTAAATCGAATACAGTAAAACGTCCTTACAACAGGCGGATATCTCCTTAAAACGATAGACAACAACAGTTCTGCATAACCTGTACATCCCGTGTGATATTTTAGTATCCCATTGACGGAAACTCCTTTATAACGGAAAAATCAGCCGGTACCGAACGATTCCGTTATATAAGGAGGTTTTACTGTACATACGTTAGACGCATATGACAAGTAAACAATAGAGTATCATACTCGTAAAAATAGGATTTCCAATAAATAATAGTTTAACTCGCGAGCGGCGTTTAAAAAAAAAATAAAGGCGTCTATATTATCACGAGTAATTCTCGACATTGCATCAAACGTCTGCGAATAATAATAAATGACCGTCGAACGGTATACCATATTGATCTGGCAGGCCGCTACGTGTTTCGGGTAGACTATAACACGATATTACGTTACTGAAACTAACGAATTTAAGACCCGGGGTAGTTTGATTAAATATGCGAGCAATGTATCCCGTGGCTCGCAAAAACGATTCCATACGGGAAATTATTATTTTTTTTTTCGCAATACAAAACAATAACCAGCAACTATATAATACCTATAATAACTATATTATACCCACCCATACCTATGCCCGAGCCCAATATCCCCAAAATATTTGTTTAGCGCAAGACCACAACATAATATGAATAAATTATAGTTATAATTGAATAAATACCTTCATTTAAAATTACAAATTAATCTACAACAATATTATTATTATTTTTTTTTGTTCGTGTGGCATAACACGAGCACCACATTTTATCTTAACATATGTAAATAATTCATTTTGATTAAATAAACAAACTCGGACAACAATATTAAACTAATATTACTTCTTTGGTCCCAAGTCATTAGGAAGAATGACGCTTAAGTTAATTTCATAAAATAATTTTTAAACAACAAAAAAAATACGGAAATTATGGAATCATAGAAAAATGTTGATTCAATTATGAAAAAAATGTACATAATAATTTACTTTGAAAAATTCAATAAATTGACTTAAGTCCTTCCTTGTGATTCAAATATTTTAATGAATAAACTTAACTATTGTGTTTTTTAAAACAATAACTTTTTGAAACTACTTATTCATACTTTTCAAAATTATCTGTATACGTATTTTAAATACATTTCGGAATAATATCTGTATTATTTGTACTCTAAATATTCAAAATTCTACAAAAAAATAAAATTATCAATTCTGGATATAAGGTCAAAATATCTACTTGCTTTATGTTTATGATTTTAATTGAAAAGTGATATATAGATGGTTTTTTTTGTGCTATGAGCAACTTTTCTACTGAAAATCTTACTCCGATGTATATCAAGTGTAGCATCTGAAAAAAAACTTTATTTTGTTGGTTTATAAGAATCAGATAATTTTTTTTTTCCCCGGGGGTTTTCATAATAAATGGAAAAACCGAAAATATCGTAAATATTACGGCCTTTCAAAACATGTATAACCGAACTCCGCTCAGAATCGTTTTTCGTTAGCAATGATTAATGGTTGCGTACAGATATACATTAAATTTCACCTCTGACTTTACAACTTCTCACCTCCAACAGTGGCCCACCCATCGTGTGAAGTATGTCCATTTTTGTTTTTTTGTTTTTTTTTTTTTTTTATTAAATTTACTCGTGAATCCAAAATTGTATTTGTAAAAATTTAATAAAATACTTCTCATATAAACTCATATATAAGTATATCCCGGCCTAGAAGTAAACGTAGTAACAATAGGTATAAACTTAAAGGTGAAAACTTAAATCTTTAATACGGTGGCGTTCATTTAACGATGCTCGTTTTTCTCATAAGAACTTCCTGTTAATTAGTGTTTAGATTGTCCAGAATAACTTTTTTTGTATAGTTGGAAAGTAAAAGGCCATCAAGTCTGTACGTACACCGCGATTACCGCGCCATCACCAGTCACCGTCATATAGGTTGTAGATGGTTTTTAATTGTTTTTGAAGTTTTCTGTAAATTAACGAACACTAGAAGTCGTCGTTAGGTACATGGTATAACTGCAGTATACCTATAGAGTAGTTGGTCGACAGAGAGAATTTATATTTACCAACGGTATCAAAGTTTTCAAAGATTCGGATGCAGTGCCCATTACCTACTCTAAATGTACCTATCTGCCATCCAGAAATGAGTATAATATTTGTTTGGTGCAGTACAACACCGCGTAATATTAATAAACTGCCTAGAATTGAAATTCGTGCGGAAATAATGCTCGAGATAAATCTAAATTAACACCGTAATAATACTGCCGGCATACGAGAAAAAACACAATAGCCCCAATTTCAGTCAATATTGAGTTACTGTAGATATAAAATAAAATATTGCGAAATTGTCTATAAAATCCGTCATTTAATAACCAGAAAATTTCTTTTTAGACCAAAAAAAATTATATATTTTAAGTAGAACTCATAGAAAGTGCAACTAAAAATTACGTTTTACTGAAAATTTGATTTTTTGGAGTTGTGTTTTTTCGTGTGCATGCATACACGGTTATGTTTATTAATTTATTGTATTTTTCCAGTGTTTTTTTGCTCAATAAAAATATAGATATTTTCAGTATAATAATTATTATCATAGTTATAATAAAAAAATTAAATTGTAAAACACAATAATTGTCAAGAGTGGTGTTAGAAGATTTATAATATAAAATTACATCAAGTAATAGTATTATTGTTTTTTCTCTCTGGACCACTTGCACTAACAGTGGCGTCTTTAGAGGATGGCAAAGGGGTTATGGCCACCTCCAAATTCCAAAAAAAAAGTTTTAAAAAATATAGAACAGATATTCTATCAACTATATAATTGAGTTTAATATATACACTTTTATTATTACAGTATATAATATTATATTATAATATTAGTTTAGCCGATATCGCCGTAATGAAGTAGACCCTTGCTTAAACTAAAATGGTGGTTATCTATGGCACTATTGTTTTAAAAACATCTGAATATATTTCGATATTACATATATATTTATAAGACATTTTATCGAAATAATTTGTATATTTAAAATAAAAAATATGTTATGTTTATGCCCTGAACAAAAAAAAAAAATACTAAACCCTAAAACATCCACCGTGTGCTACAGTTATTATTTAATTTATTGTTCGTGTAGATACCTATCGGGCAGCAAATCCATCACACAAGATTATTAAAAAAAAAAAAAAAAGAAAGTAGTACCTGCCGATATAAAATTTGTGAAAATAATTCTGCAATAGTTGAATAAACTGTTTAAATAAATATCATAACATACTAAGAATAAAACAACGTGAAATTAAAATTCGTCTAATAAATATACAAATGTTTAAGGGAACATAGAACGTTCGGGTGTTACCGTTTTGACGTGACACGTTACGGTGGCAAAATTGTTGATCCTAAGATTAAAGATAAGACGTGAATAAAATGTACACAATTATGAATTTATTTAAATAATGTTGAAACGGCATGTCGATTTGATTTTATTTAAAACTTTGACTATGTTTGGGGTGAGCACTCCAAAATGAAATTCGTACGAACGTATATTCAAAACAAAACAATCACAACAAATCGTAGACTAAATATGGAAATGGGGAAATTACGATCATTCGACGTTTTAAGATTTCAAAATAAATATTCAAGGAAAATTCAAGTCAGTCATGAAATATTTTACAACCAACTTGAAGCGAAGAAGATGTCCGATAAATAAATTAAAAATATATAATAAAAAAATTGAGAAAAGACTACAATTATAATTACCGAGCTACAATTTCATATTTAACAAAATGGTTTACATTAAATTTATTATTAAATAATTAAAGTAATAAAATAAAATATTTTTTAAATGTTAGATTTTTTTTTTTATAGGAAATTCAATTTATTTTTTTTTTTTTTTGATGTTTATAGTTTAGTTTAGTCATTTATATAGAATGACGAGTGTAGATTCAAAATGTTTAATAAAATCTAAACAATAATCAACTTTCAACATTATTTATATACATTTGTAAAAAAACGGTTTTTTTTTGCATTCTAAAGGATGTATTAAAACTCACTCCAAAACGCCTTTGCCAAAACAGACAGGCCAAAATTATCACGCTCAAATGTCCTGGATTCGATTTTTAAACACTTCTTCAGTACTATTATATAATTGATTTTTATAATATAGTTTTTGATATTTTTCATAATTTTTGCTTAATACAAATATTTAGGGATTAATGGGACGCTAAATATTATCTGTCAACCAAATATAATATTTATAATATTTCATTTTTTTTCTCCCAAATGCAAATACTCCATAATACCCCTCGTTGTCCCTCGGACTAGTACCATCGACAAACATATTAAATATTTGAATGCGATGCGTTATACGGGTTAATTAGGTCTCATTGTCACGTCATCGTTGCATATTAATTTCACCGAACAAAAAGTTGCACGCCGATTAAAACCGTCAAAAATAAAAAATCGTTCCATAGACACCCTCGAAACGTAATCACCCGATTGTTTGATATTTTCACTTTACCGTCAACACGTATAGACCAGCCAGAAAAAGCCCAGCAGAATAATATTATTATAATCGTGATGTATTCGATGATTCAATAAACCTCGTAATAATGTTCTATTAATTTATAAAACTAAACTTGGTCAATCTGATTGAAGATAATAATAATTCTACATAATATTACATATTGCAATTATACATATTATATTACAAAAACCCATCACTACAGTGTATTCGAAGAGCAAAATATTATTAGCAAACATCATCATAGCCGGGAGTTTTATAATGACTAACTCTCCTAATAATCCCTAACTAAAAAAAGCCCAGAGGTTTAAAACAACACAGCATAGAACACTTAAATGAGTTATATACTAAAACTTGAAAACTTCTGGTAAAATGTATACTAGTGGTGCATTACGTCTCGGTATACACACAGCGAAATATGATATACATTACTTAGTTTAAAACCTTGTATACCTGGCAGAAAATATCCAAAAACACGAGACATTAAACCGCCGATCTTGAAAAAAGTCTTGAAATTCAAAATTTAATTGAATCCAAATCCCTTACAAAAGGTAAAAGGTAATTGTATAAAGGTATACAATCCCTTAATTGATTATATCTGTTAGGTTTATGAATAAAAAAAAAACAAAATTGAAAGCGTTGTAGGTAATAGGTAGATTGGTGAATGAATGAATTTTGCCTTAAAACGAATTATATAATATTTGAATTTGCGTTTTTGTCATTTTATAATAATGACCAGAACTTGTTCTGGACAATATTATAAATAACAATGAGCAGAATGTTTTATGGACATGGTAATTTAGTCATTATTTATTATTTTAATGTACAATAATTTAGGCAGTATTTTGAGTATTATATTATTATATTTTACGCATAAAAATAAATTTAAAAAAACGAAACCCAAATATACTCGGAGTGGTCATATGTATATATTGTATCATAACGGATGTCAAAAATTACAATGAACAATGAAACATATATTTAAAATATAAAACCATTATAACTATGCATAAGGTATAGGTATTTATAATGTGTTCATTAATTTGAACTATTAATCGATTGATTTTAGAATCAATACAATTTAACTCATTAAAATTACAAAAGTGTTTCTTTTAAGATTTGAAATTTTTTTGGGATTTATTAAGTCACATATAACCAATTGTGTGCCAATTCGGTATATTTTTTATACTGAGTGCCTAGCAAGAAATCTATTAGTAATGTGTGATAATGAAGTGTGTTTTGTTTTTCTGTCTGTAAACAGCTTTTTGAAAAAAATTTTGTTTCCGATATATAGAGTTTAGCTCGTTTTCTGATAAAAAAATTTATCTCGTTGCTATATTGGAGAAGTAAATTTTGGAATTTTCCAAAGGATTTTCAAAATAAATTGGAAAGAAAATGATAAGGAAGACGACAAATATTTACGTCGTAAAGTTACCGATTTCATTATTTTTCATTTGTACAAACTATGTTTTCTACCAGAAATATTTAAAACATTAAAGCTATATTTGAGCTTTATAGACATTTAAATTTTATAAGTTTTTTTACGTAATTTTTGTTCGGTCTTTCAAAACTTGAATAACCGAACTTTGCTCCAAATTCTTTTTCGTTAGCAAAGGTTTATCGTTATTTACAAATACAAATTAATTATCTTTGTGCATGATTTTACCCGACTTCCCACCTAAAACAGTGGCGCACCCACCTCAGGTATCAGCTTCTTTTTTTTTTTTAATATTATGCCTTTATTTCTATCAAATTGATAAAAGAATAACTATCTATATTAAAATATTTTGACTTTTAAGTTTTTTCGATCGAATTATAATTTATAAATATAATGATTTTAATGTTATACAATAATACAGCAAACAGTTTTTTTAAGGGTTTCCTAGCAGTATGATTTTGAATTTACTATGCATAAAATAACATTATTAACCGAATGAGGTTATATAACCGTCCTAATACAATTATCCTTCGTGGAACATTAACAAAAAGAGGTACGAAATTACATTGGAGTTATAATTAGTACCAGATTAAGTGATTTAGCGCGTTTAGGTCGGTATATTATAATTTGGTGTCACTAACATCATTTTTGTTTTTTGTTCAAATTGATCGAATATAATAAGTAAGACCTACATATATTCGATACATCTACCTACTCATTGTAGGTATATAAGCAATGGATGACTTTTACTGACCTCACTCTCACGTTAATAATTCGTTGATAATTAATAATTATGCCTTTAAAATTGAGCATAATATTTAATATTTCATAGACAATACTGACAAATTATTGACACGAATATTGAAGTTTTTTTTTCGACAACTCAAAATCGTAATAATAAAATAAAACTTAATATAGTAGGTATGAATAATTAATTTAATTCTGAATAAATAATATTTTATTTTAATTAAGTTTAGTCGTGATTATCACAAAAATAATAATTCTTGTTTAATTTTAAAAAAATAATTCAATTACTCCTCATTTATAAAAATATATTTTTAACCGTATTAATTAATTAAGTAATTAGTCGATCAAATATGTATTTAACAATCGAATAATAAATGACGAATAACCAAAAAAGTTACAATAATATGAATGCAAATATCTTAAAATAATCATAAATTTATAAATTAATAATAAAAACTACCCTATAAAATGTATTTTAATTTAATATAATACTTTGAACAGTTCTTAATATTCTAAGATTATTGTGAAGAAAATGTTATATTATTGTATAATTTTTATTCCCAAAAAAAATACAACAATGCGTAGAGTTAAAATATTAACACATTACAGTTTTACACGATTTTCAGGAAAACTATACCAATCGGAAAACTGTTAGAAAGTAAACCGTTTACTTACATTAGGCACCGGATTTCATTACCTCCGTACAATTGTTTACTAACAGGTCTTTAACAATAGGTATCTACTGCTTTATGGGTTTACTGTACACTTGTGCGGAGCGTCTTACTTTAAGCTACTGTGGCGAACAAGTGAGATTCGTTTATGTGGGAGACCGCGGAAGGCATAAAGACGCCACACGCATCACCCATCTTCTCACTTCTCTGGATTTACCCAGCAAAAGCACTTAGTTTTTACTCACCTTAATCCTAACTTACCTACACTCTTCCAAACCTATACAACAGTTACGGATACCATGAACGTACTGTTGTATTTAGTTATCCTATACATCTTATCACTAGTATTTGTATTAATTTTCGCTTTGTTTTTACCACACATATAAACGTGTTTGATTGTTTCCCCGTCATACATACAATTATACATAACACACTGCCTCCGTTTGACTTAAATACAGTGCGTAGCATATAGACACTCGTGCTCTCATATCAGGACAAACAGTTGTTTATTATGAACACACTGAATTTCAAACAACGCAGCATCTCATTCACGTCTATTTTTAGTAAAAACAATTAGTGTGCAATATTATAACAAAGTCAAAAAGCGTACGTACTTCTCGTACTTTGTGTACCAATACAGACCTGCTTACCTCTACGCATACGCTGGCACATCGGCTAAACAACGATACGCCGATGAACGAGTCGTTATACACTATGAACACAAGCTTGCAAGTCAATTTAAAACCAGAACCAAATTTAATACTCAGGATCAATTTTCGGGGGAGCTTTAATTGTATTCAATATATTAATAATTTATTCTATCTCTATTCTATCACAATGCATTTTTGAAGGTGATCAATTCACTGGAAAGCGTTTTCGGCTGTTGTTTAAATCATTTATCGGTAGTCCTTAGGATATTTATATCTAGACTCAACATTTATAACACATCCGACACTAGGTATATATTTATAAATAGATGTTTTATTTAATGAGATGTCAATTTTATGAAATATCAATATTATAAATGAAAATGAAACTAAAAACTAAAAATATTTATATTTGGTACTGTTCGTCAATAAATGATTAATTCCCCTCATTCATAAAAAGGAGTTGCATAGAGTTTTTTAAAGAAATTTGAATATTTTACAACACATTGTAACTTGTTAATAATATCGATTTTTAATTTTAAACAACCCGAATTTATTCACCGTTATAATTTATGGTAGATATACCTACAACACAGTACTAATGGCTTTACCGAACTTTCTGAGAAAAAACAATAATTTTTGTTTCTTTAACTTGATTCTCATGACCTATACCACCGATTTTACTTCGTACACCACCAGTTAAAATATAACTATTGAAAAACAAAATCTTGTGACTTATCAATGTGTTGTATATTAACTCTTTGAGGCACACATTTTTTTGATCATTTTCAAGAACAAATTTTTTCTTTTTGGAAAATATTAAAATTTGGTATACTCATAATACATAAAAAAAAAAAAATCTAAAAATCGGTGTTTTAACCATATGTATAGTTAATTACGTATAATATACCACAATATCTCTAAGGGTTAATTCGAGCTTTCACGAAAAATAATCAGAATTTTGTAAATTTAAAAAAATATAAAATCTAAATTTTAATATCGTTCATTCAATCGAGTTATTTTACCTATGCGTATTTTGTATAAATCAATAACTATTGAAGAACATTGTTTTTATTTGTTGGAAAAAAGGATCAGATTAAAACTATAGGTTTCAGTTTAAAAATTGTTGTAAACAAATTATGCTATTTTCAGGATCAAAAATAATGTAATTAGATAAAAGATCAATATGATATATGTTTAATACGCTTGCAAAACAAAACACGACCACGAAACTATAAAATTATAATTTATAATCATTTAAACCGAATCATCTACTCAAAAAGGTAAACAATTTCTAAATAGTATTATAAATATTATAATTATTGCAGCGTAACCCATTTTCTAAATTGAATACATTTATCCAAATTACCTATCTAAATAACATATTTAGCTTTTAAGTAGGTACCGTCATAGAAATAGCAAAATATAAAAATTATTACAATGCATAATATTATAGTCTTTACATAAACGTATCGTTATAATAATTTACATTTATTCGTTTTTTTTTAAATAAAATAACAATTTAAAGTGAACCGAAGCGAAAAAACTTACTCCACTATTTGTACGTGCAAACATACCTAGTATACTTAATACTATTATTAAATAATATATAATCATAATATGTATACAAGTATTTTTATTTAATCCTTGAACCATTATTATATTATGAAATATTCTCAAATTATGTTCACATCACGTGTATACAGTGTAAAATATTATTATTAATTTTAACGCTCGACTACAAAAAAAAAATTAAAATATTTCTCCAAAAAAATAGTTTCAGTGCAATGTTTCCATAATCGTATTTTTATGAGCATTACTCTATATTATATAATAATACCTACTTAAAAAATGGCCAACTTTGTTCTTTATTTTTTCGCCATTCATTTTAAATCCAAACTAAAATTATTTAAATATAAACAAAATAATGTTAACATTAATAAATATGATTACAAACAAAAAGTTTACTAATTATATTTTATATACATATATTATGTAATAAATACAAAGATAAAATAACTTTTTATCGATTTTTTCACTTCAGTTATCTAAACTTTAAATGTTCATATTTAGTGAGGTCTTTCTTCAATATTATTATTATTTAGATTCTGAGCAGACCGAGGAATGTATTGGTTTTACAATGATGATTTTCTTTTTTTTTTTTCTTTGTGAACAATATTTCTATCATCAATATTTTGCTCCAATTTTCAAGTATAGCATTTTTTCTGAAAGAAAATCTGATTGGAGTAGTACTATAGGGAGGTCACATTTTTTTTCCCAGCTTTATAATAAATGAGAAAAACTGAGTTTATAAGGAAAACCAGGAAAAAAACGTAGAAAAAATGGGAAAAATATTAAAGAAATATTATTGAAGAAAATTTATAATGCATATGACATAGATATATATTGTTGACAAACTAACACTATTTACCGAACTTCGCTCAGAATCGTTTTTCATCTTTAAATTTTTATTAGCCTTTTAAATACGTAGTAAAATATTCTGATAATTAATGAACTACTTTTAGGCATTTTATATTTTCTAGATGTATACATTTTTATTTGGATAAAACTTCTTAAATCTTTGTCCATCCTATCGCGTTTTAAAATATCTTCTAATAGAATTAGTTCGCTCACTATAAAAAAATAGTAGTATTTTTGTGTTTTTATTGTATTCAATCGCGTATTATTTTTTCGTCTCTGTTATTTTATTACTTAATGATGATTTTTTAAATCGAAATCGGTCGTTTATATACACACAACTACTATAATTTTTAATATTCTAGTCTTTTTTTTTGTAAATTTCTTAATAATTTTCTTATTTGTTTTTCATATATTATATTTATACACATATAGTTCATTGTTATTTTCATTAATTGCACTAATTTCTCTTACAAATCTAACTCCAATCAAAACATGACAAGAAACCTTCTCATTTGATTCTAGTTGGTACTTTCAAAAGATCATTTTTTGAAATTCTCATTAATATTCGACACAATTAGAAAAACCAAAGTTGTCATAACCGTTTTTTTATTTATTCATTGTTATTGTTAAGTTTGCTTTATTTTAGTCTTTTAATCTTTTTTGAACAATCGTTATAGTCGTGAAAATGCACATTGTTGAAAAGCAATCCTATTGACCTACAAGCTTTGCTCAGAATATTTTTTCGTTAGCAATGATTAATTTTTGTACACAAATATAAAAATTAAACTCTGTTATATAGTAACCCACCCATGGTACGAAATTTGTCCGTCCGTTTTTTTCTTACTATTATTCTTTTTTTATATTAGGAATATTTAATTTTTTTTTTTTCCCCAAGTATATATTTTCATTAAATACTATACATTAAAATAATAATACTGAAAATAATCATCAATTTTTATAAATTCTTTACAATTTTTACTTTAATATAAACATAAAAACTGTTACAAACTTTTAAGTTTTTTTCTATGATTATAAAATTGTATGACAAAAAAAAATAATATTTTTCAAAGATTTAAAAAGTTTCTAATCCTGAAACGAAAGAAAGCTTTTAACACTTTATAAAAGTGAATGACTTCTTTAATTCTTAAGTTCTTAAGTTTATAAACCGCTACATTAAATTATCAAGGGCTTTTAGTCAAAAATGAATTATTTGTGAAACACTATATTACTACCGTAGGTAACGTAAGATCGACGATAAAAAAAACAAATTGCATATTTTACATGATTTTATTAAGTACGGTATATTATATAATTAAATTAGGCGAAAAATATAAAAAGAGCTTACATGTTCATAAGCGTAATCCACTGTAAACACAAACAATCAATATTTTTATTAGTATAAAACAATGTTTTGGAATTCCTCTCACAAAACAAATTATAAACGTTTAATTATAATAAAATTCATTATAATCATGGTATAAAATTTAGATTTTCAAATAATAACCCAAAATGTTATTTTACATAATATGAAGAAATTGTCTTTCGAAAAATGTACAAAATTACAATAAATACTATTATAAGTAGCTTATAGATAATTTCTTTGTTTTGTAGGTACCTACTTTTAGCTTTTAATATAATATTATTCCACTCTTCCAATCTAAACATCGAATGTGTTAACTAGCAGAACAATTATCTGTTATTTTATTTATTTCTAACGAAATTTAAAGAAATAAAAATGTTTAGAAATCGAAACTCTAGAGTTATTTTAAGTGCTATAAAATCAAATTTTATATTTCTTTGGTATCATAATGGAAAAGGTTCAAAATATATTGATTATAATGATATTATTTACTATACAAACTTTGGATACTGACTTAAATTTATTTTTTCTTTGTACACAATTATCATATAATATGATTATAGATTATAAAATGTTATTTTGTATTAATAAATTAGAATAATAATCAAATTATTACCATTTGAATATTTAATTTTTGGTAAGTACCTAATATTATTATACACGTGTTAGAACGTTGTAAATACAATACATTTTGATGTAAAAAAAAATATGAAAATAAATTTTAAATACTTCATTGTCATGAAGAAAGTGTTTGATTCTTTTTTTTTTAATTTTACATTATGTAATTTTTTTTCTTTTCTATGTGGGCTACGATGATGCTGTGGTCATAAAAAACTGAATTTCAATTTAAAATTTGAGTATATTTATAATAAAACAAACGAATACGACCTAATACAAATATCAGTTCCAAATATGGTACATGATAAATTTCTCTATTTCAGACAAAACACATTATGATTAAACACTAAGGTCGTCACATGGAGGCGCCGCACACTATTATTAGCCGTGTCGGTCAGATCGATAAAAAATAAATAATTACCATAGATACATGAGATTTTATGTTTAATCAAATAAATCAAGAATAAAAAATGTCTTTAGAACTAAAATGTACTTACCTATCTATTTGAAAATTTATGTAATTCATTCAACAAAAAAAAAATATATATTTATTCTTGTATAATGAAGACAAAAAAAAAAAGGTTTGTATACGAGTCATTTTATTTGTTTAGAGAATGGAATTTTATATAAATAAATCTATAAGGATATTATATTTATTTTTGCATAATTCTTTCTGATACAAATATGTAAATTCCATTTTATCTCGTGTAACTCATCAGAAAATTGCTGCACAATCAGAGAGAATTTCTACAATTTTTACAATAACAATAATATGCATTTGACTACAGCAATTGTGTGTTATATTCCTCTTTATTTATACCCTTTATCTTCAACTCAGAGGATTACAATAGACATCAAAATACGTGTTTCTGATCTCGTGTGGACTGTGCATCATTCGTGATAAATTACAGTAATAATACACCGAGATTGGGAAAGCGCACAGTTCAACATTCGGGAGAGGAATGGAAAGAGGTGGTTGGGGCAAAAAAAGATATAAAGCTCCCTTTTCACCTTCGTCCTATAACATCGATGACTACAGCAGATACAAAAGCCATTTTCTGCATTTGTATAGGCAAAAAGTTTCTTTACTGTTTATCGTGGGGTGTTTATTTTATTATTTTTTTTTTTTTTAACAACACAAAAAAATACCATTTGAGGTTATTGCAGCGTAACTGGCCTATGGAGGATTTCATCAAATTATATATTTAAACTTATGCCTACTAAAAAATATATTTCTTCGACGCTAGCCACAGGAAAATGGCATGGAAAGTTTATAGCACGTGTCTGCATCACATAAGGCGTAAAATAGCGGATGAGTTACACATGAATAACGACATGGATTTATACTCATAATATATTATTACCAAAACATCAATTGAGACATGTTACGTACATGCCAATAATATTATTTCTAAGAAATATGTATACGTCCAATTTATACTTTCATTCGTATATTCAGCGAGTAAAAATATTATACAACTAATGTTTTCATTACAACGATGACATATATTATTAATTTTCAGTTTTCAACGATAAGCATTTTTTATTAATATTTGTATAAATTTTCTTCAAAGGTGTATAGAATAAAAATATTAAAACAAATTTCTAATAAAACAAATAATAATTTATCCAATCTTTTTTTTTCGAAGCGATAAAACAGTGCTTACCTATTAACAAAAAATTAATTCTTGCTAAAATGTCAAAATTCTTACTTAGATATACATTTTTATAAACTTAACGTCTTGTATAAATATTATATTCATTTAAAAATTTAAAATTTTTAAAACTTTAAATAAAATAACAAAATAATTTTTTTATCCATAAATTCAACTAGATACCAAGTCTGTTTTATTTTCGAAAATAAAATGTTGGTTGTTTATTTCCATTTGGTGTTTAAACCAGCGTTTCTCAACTCGGTTCACGAGAAGATATTACGCGAGGGTTCGCGCAAAAAAATCGTAATGGCGGAAAAAGTGAAATTTGTTTTATTTGTCTTACTTATATATGTTATTTATCTATGTTATAGGAAAATATATGACAAGTTGACATTTAGGGGTCCATAAAGCAAGGGTGAGAGGTCAAGAGGTACTTGAATGAAAAAAAGTTGAGAAATGCTGGTTTAAACGATAAATTTAATTCGTTGATTATGAATGAAAGCGTTGTCTTCTCTATAGGGGTAAAATCACAATAATGATCTTGAAAAAAACTGTCTAAAAGGTTGCACTTGTTTACTTCAACAAATCACAATCAACAGACTCGACAATAATATACAAGTATGACGAAGTATTACCTAGAAGTTTGCCAATGGTTACAAATAATAAACAAGCTTGAAGTAGAAAAATATTCCCCATTGTCTAATGTCTGACAACGTAAAATAATTAGGACAGAAAACGATGTCCTTGTTATGATAAACAAATTACGAGCTGCACAAACAAAACGTACAACGTTATCACATTAAGCTCACAATACTCTAAAATTGTTAGAATTGTAGACACTAGTACATATAAAAACATACATCTCAGTATCACAAAATTCCATTGTACACGTCTACTCATTATTATACTATCAGCGGTTATTCACGTGCTCCTAATCCAAATGCATCCACCGTACAATGCAGATAACCCATGGAAAATAATAGTTAAAAGTAAAAAGTTTATAAACAGGTATTAATTAGAATTTGAACACTGCAGTTTCTAAAAACTTTAAATCGCTGTCAAATGTCAGTCAAAGAGTGTTCCGTAGAATATTTTTGTCAAAATGTATTAAAAATTAACTTTAGGTATTATGACTCGTGCAAAAAAAGTAGGGATTGCTATTTGAATTTCAAAAGTTTCCGTTCAAAACCCCCCTGGGAAGGTTAAAAAAATACAATTTCCAAACAACTCTGGGTTATTTCATAATATAATCACTATTTTATAAAAGAAACTTTTTCACTATTTTGCATATTTAATAAAATAACGAATTTATTCGGCATTTGTATTTTTGTGTTGTTGCCAATAGTTTTATGGATATTTTAAAGTAAACTACGCTGACAAAATATTAGCTTGATGAGCTATTCAATTTTTGAAAACAATCAAAATGTCATACAGTGCTGCAATCACGATAATATGGTATCTACACAAAAAATAATTATTTATTTATGAAAATAAGTGGTTGTAGACAATTTTCATATCGAAATGTATTATAATAATTAAAACAAATTATGGATGCATATTATATGTATGAACGGCGAAGTATCGAATGCTTGAACCGTCACAATGATATGCAGAATACAGTTTCGTATATTAATTCAATTTGGTATACACCCAGGTAGTGTCAACATCTTGTACCCCATCCGATAGAGAATACAATTAGTATAATCATGCAAATGCATATAATTCTGGACTCTAGTTATAATAACGACTCAGCTGATAACATCGATTCTACCGACCACAAATGTAAGGTTTATTATTCTTATTTATATCGTCAAACTTAGCTATTATTCAAAAATTTAAACATCGTTAATAATAAAAAACCATACAGCATGTAACTAAATTATTTATCTTCATAATGAAACCATCATTATTATCATAAATTAAAAATTAAAACGTATTACTAAATTCCATACCAAACTTACTTACTGAACAATGCCATAGAGAGGGGGTTGGGAAGCTTAATCCTCAAAAACTCATTCAAACCTCTTAAAATAAATTCTGTATCAAGGAAATACTAAGAATACATAATCAATACTAAGAAGAGCTCCACAAAATATTTCGGCTATTTACGCCTATAAATAATGCTAATTATTTGCCTAAAAGGTTAATTCATTAAAGTATAAATATATACAGAGCAGGAAATACTTTGCATCATGGGTAGACCACCATAGTAGTTGGAGAGTTTTAATAGTATATAAGTATATAAGGGTAAAGTGTATAGGAATTTAATTTATACAAAAAAAACATCTTAGTAAAAGCCTCTTTGCTATACTCAAAATCTAAAATAGTATGACATCACTGTATCCTTATAATAGATTTTTTTTTTCTTTTGTTTGAAAAAACATAAATGAAAAAAAATCATATTATTAGGTACGCATCATCAGTCGCTTAGACAACTAATTAAACTTAAAAAAAAATACACTAATTATTTAGTCTCTAACTTTAAAATATTATTCAACCTATACGCCAATCCCCACTTAAAATATTTCATAATAATATTAAAAATTATTTAAATATATCAATACAAATTGACCAAAAAAACATATGGGTCAAAAAGTAGAAATTAGTAAAAATTAGTCTTTATTTATACAATATAAACAAATTCTACATGAATAACAGTGGTGTACCGTGATAGAAATAAAATTATTTCAAGTACAATATTAATAGATAGGTAAATATTAAAAAATCGTGACATACGGGGCGATTATTGAGTCTTTAAATAATATTAGTTAAATGAAAATTAAGTATAACATGATGGTAGACGTAGAAAAGTTGGGTGTGTCAATTTTACAATATATTAAACGAAAATTACAAGGGTATAGGGTATAGTCTTTATAAAAAAATAAGTTTATAAGTTCCGAAATGAATTTATAAGTATAGAGATTATAGAGCGGAGGTTATCAAGTGAACCCAAAATTTAAGCGATTATACTTGAGCTCGTATTAGAGAGAACAACAAATAAAAGAACACATTATAATATGTAGATGGTAAACAGAAAAGTTAAATAAAATTAAATGTTTCACATGATTTGCAGTGACGTTGGACAATAAAAAAAAACCTATAGCATGATGCATAATATTGTATAGATTGATTTAATAAAGGACATTATAAAGAGAGAGACTATGCTCGATACGTACATAAACGTTTTTAGTAATTCAATATTTATCAGATATTTTTGGGTTTAAATTTAGGTTATAAAAGCTTAGTTTTGTGTTCACACGTATCTATTATTGTATTATTTTTTTGATATTATCATTAATATTAATTTAAGCTATGAGTCTGATAAACGCATCTCATTTATCGTTGGTAAAATTAGTAAAAAAAAAATTTGAACTTTAACGAATTTTTCAAATTGTTTAAAAATGTATGAAGTAATTGATAGTTTTAAACACCAACAATTTTTTAAAAAAAAAATAACTTATAAAATAGTTATCTTGGATTACCTATATAAAAACAAATTTAAATAAAAAAAAAATATATAAATTTGTTATTTTAAGTTATTAGTAATGAAATAAAATATTAAATATAATCATTATAGCGCAGAGGTCTAGTAATATTTAAAAAAAAAAATTGATTAGTTAAATAGTTCTGCTACAGTGTAGCAGCTACACTTTAATGAGATAGTAAATGTATAATGGATAATTTGTTTAAATAGGATAAACAATTTCAGCATTCATTGACTCATAGTCGTACATTTATTTTAGATTCTCTAACAGACTAAAAAATGAATTTCTTTTGATATGTGTCAATGTTTCGAGAACAAAAAGACTATAATATTGTTAAAGAAAATGCAAAAATTTTCAAATATCATATAAGAATTTAACCGGTAATTATTTATATTGAATATAGATATTTAATATCAAAGTGTTTAATTATTACACAAAATTTTGTTACGCCATTAAGTTCCTTCCATAAGCTTAACGAATCGAGCCATACCCGTGCGCTCGTTGATCATTTTGCAAACTTCAAAGTTCAAATAATTTTTAACGTTCAAAATGTTTATAATTTTTTGGATATCACACATTTTTAATACCCTTATCCGTATTATTATTGTAGTGCAATTCCAATTGATTCACATTTTACTGAATAATATTATTGTTTCAATTATTTTAAAATTATAAATCGAATTTTGATTATTTTCTCACGTATACTACAAATTACAGCTATTCAGTTTTGAAACTTGTAAAAATTAAATTAACAATTTATAGAAATAAAAATACGTAATATTACTGAATAAATACATTTAATATATTTTAGTACTAGGAATAACGTTTTTGGAAAACGAACGATCGCAAAATTATTTAATCGTTTAATATATTTACTGGGACACGATAAATTTCATTGCGAGCAGTAGATTCTATCAATTTTACAACACTTAGCAATAATAAAGAGTAATTTTTATAGACTTTAATTCCAACCCATTACACTCAAATCACGTACCACAATAATTGTGCTGCACATTTTAGGTCTTAGAAAAGCAGTACACGTTCGAAATCATTCGATTCAGTCGTGATCCAGAGGACTATTCCAGAAATGTAATCATTCAAAAGCATTCGATTTCTTCAAAATGTAACATCCATCCAGATAATATTCAAATTCTGCTTGGTAATTTATAAAAAAACACAACGACATGTCTAATAAATTAGTATTTATGTAATCATTTTAAAATCCTGAGTGAAGCAAGGGACCTATTCGTTTACTATTTTTACGTACTATAGTTTTACGTTTTTATTTTTTCTGTCTGTAAACAACTTTTCTCCAAACAAATTTCGAAACATGATAAGAAACCTTTTTTGTTGCATTTTGGTTCTAGTTGATACATTAGAAAGGTCATTATTGTTGTTTTCTTTTACTTTGTAATTTGTGGCACAATAATAATTGATACTGTTACAACATGTACATCGTTATTAATGTTATTTAACTCGTGATATTTATTATTTCATATTAATTTTGAATGTTTGAATTAAATATAGGTAGTTGTCACGAACAGTAAAAACTCCGCGGTTATTTTTCGTCTTGTTGTAGTTTAAATTGTTGAGATTTGAAATTTAAAATTACAAAATAAAGTAAACTAATATATTTTAGTTTTAAGTTTTTTTTTTTTTTTTTTTTATAGTATCTAGGAAATAAATATATTATATTCTATATTTACATCGTAACATGTTATAATGTATAGTTTTGTTTTAAAACTAACAAAGTAAACCGGTTTTGAATAACCATACAATTTAGGATCAATATTAACCTTTTTTTAAAACCGATAAAAAATAGAAGAAGAACTAAAACTAATATTCTTCGACCACTGAATATATAAAATAATGAAGAAAAAAAAAAACAATCGTAAAAAAAGATAAAATCGAAAACAACTTGGACCGAACAAACAATATTAAGAGTATACAAACATTTTCCGGAGAAACAATACGTTTTCCACGATGTTACTGCTGATTGTGTTGCGTAAAAGGTATGCCCGTAATAGTTCCTTACCGGATTTATTTGTTAATTATTATGACCGTTAATCGAATATACACACCCGGGAATTCGGTCGTGCGCCGGATGGATAACGCGGGGTGGACGGGAGGGATGGAGTGCGATGCGAGAAAACGTGTACTTTACGGAGTGACGAAAATGTTTCAGAAAACCAATGACGATTATCGTTGTTATTACTATTATTATTTAATTTTCCCGACTGTTACGTTCGCGCCTATTATTTCCCCGCGTTCTGTAATCGTATACCCACGTACGTAACGACGTTGCGTCGCCGTAATGCGGGGCGGGCGCCGGCGGAACGCCGCCTCTATAACGACTACACCTGCCGTAAGTTGCGCGCTACTGCAGCAGCTATCGCGTCTACTCTTTATAGCCACCACCCCCCCCTCCCCCGTCGCCCCACGCCATACTCCCGTATAGGCCTAGGTAAGGGACTGGATGGGGTGGCGGGGGGGGGGGGGGGGGGGGGGGGGGGGGGGGCGGGGAGAGAGCGGCGGCGTGAACCCCCGGTTTCGCCGTGCACGAGCGCGACGCGCGTATCCCGGCCGTACGTGCGCACACCTAATATCCACTTAATACTCGTTATGATATTACAGGTCGGGTTACATTGTATGCGTACATTTCGCGCGCGCGTTTCCGCGGGCCCGCCGGCGTTATTATGGCCGTCGCCGCCGCCGCCGCCGTACGTACGTCGCGCCATGTCAGACACGCGTGTGTGCGGTCGTTAAGCCCGGCGGCGGCGGAGCGGGTCGTGCCCATCGCGGACGATTAGTCCCCGGACGCCGCCGGGACACGGTGCGCACGCAGAGCGACGCGCGCGCGTCCACGTGTATCATAGCAGTGTTGCAAATCGTATGCCTAACGTTTCGTAATGCGATATTGTCATACCGTATGCGCGGGGCGAGAGGGATTGTGAGGAGGAGGGGGGGGAGGAGGGTCGCGAATTTGAATATTGCTTATGCGCTGATATTTGTCCGCGTGATATTTGATAAACGTACGTTCGTCTTGGCGACCTACCGTGGTAGTGCCTCGCTCTATGTATTTTTATTGTACAACAAACATGATTCGTGTCGATGCTGTTCGGGGCGCATGATTCGGAAATATTGACAACTCATTATGCGTGCAACACCTATGCACAATGCGTGTAATTAAATACCGGCACGTGAACAATATTCCCGCGAAACAGATTGGGCACGTACGTGTGTACACACACACACACACACATGCCGGTAGGGGAGGGGCGGTCTGCCGTCGGCGCGACGACGGACGTTCTTGTTCCGCGGCGGGTACACGGTAATAACGCTGGTCGCCAATTCGTCTATTTTCAAATTAACCGCGCGTCAGCGCAATGGTTTTACCGGCGGTTCGCGGCTTGCCGTTGATTGTCGCTACGTACGCGCATTAACACCCCCCCCCCCGTTTTGAACCGCTGCCGAGTGTCGACTGATTGTGACGTTGGTAATTTTTTCATATATTTAAGTAATATAAACACAAAAGGTTGTTAAAGGTCACTAGTGAGTTATTGCTTGGTATGCACTATGTATTTATACGTCTCAAAATATTTCAAAACAGTTGTTTTTTTTTTTGAAAACTAATGCGAGTTTCCAATTTAGGGGTGGGGGGAAGGGCGCAAACGCGGTGATTCGCCCGGGTCGCCATCAAACCTCGATACGGCCCTGCGCATGCGATATCGGCTGTCGCCGCCCGCGAGATTACGATATGATTGTGATAACGTCCGGCCGTAAAAATCGCGACGGGCGAAAACCCCTTTTCGTCCGCGGAACGAGTCGCGTCGATGACGATCGCGATTTCGAAAAAAAAAAAACAATAATAACCGTAAAAAGCCGGGCAACTTCGCACGTCGGCGGGCCACTGTTGTAGGTAAGAAGTTGAGAAGGTAGAAGAGGGAAAATTCAATGTATATCTGTACATTTACAGATGAAACATTGAACCTGAAATTGTTGGTTACTTACTAAAAAAATACGGAACATAAATGTAAAATTGTACAGCTGCTTGTTTATTAAATGTTCTATAAAACAAATTTCGAAAAATGTCGAGATAATGAGTGTCTTACGATAGATAATTCACTATGTAATTAAAAAATGCACACAGAATATTAATGTAGCATGTGAAACAATATTTTTTAACCTACCTAAGTAGATCCTAAGTTTATGTAAAAATAGGAAGGAGAATATTGTTTGGTTTTTATAATTTACGGAACGCAACTAGTATCAACACAAATAAAATTCAGATCGCGGCGGAATGCAATTTGTATGCAGCCATATGTGAAATCACTTATAGCATGGTGGCGAAAATATATTAAATCAAAATCGTGGAATCGTGGTGGCCACATTATAAAAAGGTCGTCGCACAAAAACTAAACAGGGAATTCAGTGAAAATACTTTGGAAAAAAAAAAACAGTTATAAAATAATAACAATGAAAAAAAGGCCCTTAGATCCACACGGTTTTTACTACAAATACCTATACTTTCAGAAAAGTTTTCCGGGCATCATTACGATATTTTTAGCGGAGGTCAGAAACCGAGGTTCGTCCCCGTACGCTCTCGGAAAGTAAATGTTTACCCATTCAGCTATAATATACGTGTATCATAATAATAATAATCATAATAATAACAACACGCCCTCAAAACGAAAATATACCATGCGCCAGCGATTCTCGACTTTGTGCACTTCCAATTAAGTTTTATCGTCGGAACGCAATAAACCACCGAATTTGCATTTTATGATTATTACCAGCTTTTTGATATTATTATACATAGTCGATCATCTGATATAATTTCCTGTATCATTAAACAATTTTGGTGTACTCAAATCAATATGTACGATAATAATAATAATAATAATCTAGTGTACCAACAGGTTTTATACGAACGATGCGATCGCGACGCCTATCCAAAACCACGGACCGAGATACACAGGACAGGAAACGAGAGGCAAACGAGATGCCGGTGTACCCGCGATTATTTACCGGGTGAAATATTTCCTCCCCCGGCAAGTTATCTCTAGAGAATATTTAATCCCCGGTAAAAGTTCACTAGGGAATATTTACCGGGAGTCAAATTTCACTAGGGAAAAATTAACTCCCGGTGAAATTTTCGGGGGTAAAATATCATTAGCGAAAATTTACCCCCCCCCCTCCGGTTAATTATTATTTTACGTATCGTTATTGCAATAATATTTATGTGACTGTTCGTGAATGACGTTAAATCGCTATCGTATCATTGATAACGCACTCGTTTTCAGTCCTGTATATCTTAGTCCGTGTCTGAAACTAACCCACTGCAAATATGAATTATTATACTGTTCTTGCTAGCTGCAGTAACAAATGGATTTTCGCCACGGTAAATATCTGATGCTGCACAAATTTAATTATGTTATCGCCGCCGTTTCATCGACATTTTTTAGCTTTTGATTTTACACAGACGATAAACTATATAATAGTTTTTATTTTATTCAATTCTCCGCCATCGGTAGGTATATTCATTTCTTTTTAGAAAGACGATAAATGTTTCAATACGATCTTATACAGATATACATGTACAATATTAAAGTTGATGGTGTTTGAAGATGATTCATTAAAAAATGATTAAAGTGATTAAAGATTACAGCGGTGAAAAATAAACGGTTTTATTTGATATCGACATATAATAATCGTAAAAAAAAAAAAAAGACGTCAAAGTAAATCTGAAAAACTGAAAGACGGTTGACGAAATTTATTTCAAACGAACAGTATTTCTATACAAAACGTTTTAAAAAATTGTCCGTATTTTTCATTGTTGATAAATATTATTGGGTTCTCGTTATCATACTTGTATATGGATTGTGTATTACAATACAACACTAATTCACCGTAATATATAGGTATGTACCTACCTACGTAGTACATACCTATATAGATATTGAATATGTAGAACAACTCAATAGTAAACAACCGACTATAACCAGTATTATATAGTACTATAAAAGACGTGAAACAATTTGCCGTGAAACATGTCTGCAAACACCGTGAGGTCGGTCGACAAACCGGTTTTATCGTCAAAAAAAATCATCTCGTAGTGATGTTTGATGTTCGTTCGAGCAGTGTCATTTGCATTGAGGTTGGTGCAAGGTTATATTTTTGCATAAGCAAAGAATTGTACACGTATAATTTCTATTTTGTTTCACAAAATTGTAAATGTCGTACAAGTGTCGTTTTTATAGTATTTACGTCTCTGTCCTAGTGTTGAAAACTATTAACAATATTATTAGGTATCTCGTAAATATCCGAATGGCCGAGTCTCTATGCACAGTTAAAGACACGCAATATACGTATATAAGTATATTGTACATATCTCTACTCTCTTCAAATAATCCACAGATATATATATTATAGGTGTTATTATTATATTACTCGTATACCTGTGAAATAATCTTAAATCGTAATTGATTGTAATTGTATATTGTTATCAACGTTGTACAGCCAAAATAATGTGTTATCACTTCATCTGCTATCACTATTCATTTATTTTTCGGATTGTATATTGTTTTAAATCTTTTAATATTTTAAATAAGTCACGTTCTCACGGCTATTTAGTGTTTCATGTTTTAAGCTTCACTGCTTATGATTTTAATTTATATGGCTGTTAGTTTTTTTTCCTCTCAAAACGAGCGAACCAAAAAAAAAAAAAAAGAAAGATGATTAAAGACTTTTTAAAAACAAATATATTAATAGTAAATTTATAGTTAAATACCCATTTAAAATATTAAATAATTTACAACAATTCAATCATTTCCATTTGACATTTGTATACAATATTAGGTGTTATAATTAATCTACGTATATATATCCTATATATCTGAGAACGCAACGCTTTAAATCGTTGACGATTACGCGCGCAATATGTTTTTAACGAGCCAATAATTAATATTATGTTGTAACATTATAATATTATCGTATCTTATCATTTCGTTTTTGTACTCGAACCTACTCGACAGATGAGAATTGCAAACGGAATCGATCACTCGAGAATATATTATTATATTATTATTGTGTGCAACAACGCAGTGGTTACGATAATCCGCCGCAGTAACACACAGCACGAAACGTGCATAGAACACTAAACAGCTCTGTCAACTATTCGTATATAATCCGAAATACAATTCGAAATCTTGCCGATCTCTCTGTATGGGCGGCGCATGATTGTTAAGGCGGTTTCTATAACAGATATTTCACGAAAAATACTAACGCATTTGCTGTAGGCGTACATCACAATAATTGGAACGAATTTGGACATTACGGTTTTTTTCGTAATTATTAACTCTCGCCTTTTCATATACAACACTAGCGTAGTTATTTAAGGGGGAAGGCGTAGATCCCTCATCCGAAACATTATGTATGTTATATAATAACGTTCCTCAGTATACCAGTGTGGCTATGCGCATTGTATAAAAGTCTTATTTATAATATGGTTAATAGTGGTTATTACTCAAAATTCTCTATATATAGGGCCTCAAGTCTAAAAAATCAATATGTTTTTTTTTTTTTTTTAATTTAATTAATTTAATTTTTATTTAAAAATTGTTTAGATGTAAAACATCTTACAAGAGCACTACATGATTATATGTTTAAAAAAAAATGTGTTTTTAAAATACATATGTTTCAAATTCTCAATATAAATTAAAATATCAACTTGTATTGTGTAATGTATACCTATATTTAAAAAAAAAAATCTATACGCCATACTACATCAAAAATATAGAATACTATATCATTATAAAATTGTGTGCCGTAACATACCTACACATTTTTAAATAGTAAGATTTTATAGATAAAAATATCTAACTCAGATTTATCATTAACTATATTTTTGTCAATTAATCACTGAAATCACTTTTTGATAAAAAAAAAATAGTAAAAACAGGATTAAAATAGGACTAAATGCGTCCTGTTCAATCTCGATTTGAAAAACAGGACACACGCCGAACTGAAAAGCAGAACAGTTCTGTAGTCTAAAACAGGACGCATGACCACTCTAATATTTTGGTAATGAAATAAAATACATTAACAGATTCGAGATGTTAAAATACGATTATCAAATAGGAATGTAGGTGTTATTCCTACATGAAAATATATAAATCACATTATCCTTCATTTTTAGATTTTAAGTAGTGTAGCAAAGAAGCTAATATTTTTACTAAAAAATGCTTTTATTTTTTTGCTGGAAAACACTTTATCGGCTAAAATGCCTCAAATTGTTCACATGGTACCTACCTAAGAGTGAAACCTACCAAATATATTCAAATATTTTGCTTCGTGGTAATTTATTTGAACAATTAATCTGGATTTCCAACAGTTTTATAAAAATAAGAAATAACGATAAATCGATTTTTTTTTTCTGGGTTAATACCTTGGCCACAAGGGGAAAACACGGCTAATACTACGATTATAGTCTTATCAGTTTACCATTTGCTACTCATAATCGTTTTTATTTACAATGATTAATTATGGCTATATCAACTAAATTACCTTATATCCTACTATTATACATACCTTCCAAACGTTTTACGCTTACGGTGCGAAATATGTCCTGAATTTATTTAATTATTTCATTAATCTTTGATTGAATTTCAGGAAATAAACTACGACTCAGCCAGAGGCGGGGTGAGTGTGATCACGGAAAAAGGTGAAGTAACCACTAGTTATTTGCTCGTACAAAGAGCAACCAGCACGGATTCAGGAAAATACACATGTCACCCAAGCAACGCAAATCCACACACCGTTGTCGTACACGTTCTCAATGGTAATTATTACAACACTTAAAACTATAAGGGTTGGTTAGATGATAAAGAGACTGTTAAAATAAAAATTTTGGTCAAGAAGACTATAAATCGATTTAGCATTATATGATAAAAATAACAATAATCAAAATTATAATTAGAGGATAAAGGAATCGTTATAAATATTTCACGAGGACACGACACCCGTATGTGCTGTCTCCGTAACTCCGTTTTATATAAACGTGCGATGATGTATCAAATTTGCACTCCGCAGAGATGACAATTCATATTTGAACGTTTTAATATTAGATCTAATTGACCTGTTATCAAACATAAAGATAAGAACATTATCTGTGCAATTAGGTCAGTTTTTGTTTGATATTGTTAATTTTTAAGAAAGATATAGACAAGCATTCTTAACAATTAAAGTTACGAATGAATTCGCGCTGTTGCACCTACGATAATTTTCTTAGATCTTTAGGTTTGATAATAGATCAATTCACTTTAATATCAAAACTAACAGCACAAAGTTGTCCATGCTGAACGTAAATTGCCTATGTAGTACGTATGTATAATGGAGACGGTATAGCAGATAGCAGACGCAACACGGCAGACAATATACGGGTATCGCAGACTTAAACTTCGTAAATCGTATAAAATTGAATGTTCATGTGTGCGATAAAAATTTATCGCCGCCGACTGATTTCAATGAGCATATTTTATAAGTATAGGTAAATGTATATAATTAAATTAGCAGCGAATTTGAATAAAACTTCTTAAAAATAAATTTGATTACATTATAATGATTATAAATTTATTCATACCAAAAAATTTATTTTCAAATTCCGTATTTCCTTGAATAATATTGTTATCCAAGAAGTACCTACGCAAATGTATTCTAATAAAATATTTTGTCTGGTCGACTGATATAACGTTCGAACGTCCACGTACATATATAATAGATTATATAAGTATATAATATAATTTAAGTATTAAATTCAAACTACAAAAATGAAAATTTTCTCATTTAAACATCTAAAATAATAAAAATGTTTCAAACATTTTTCACACACCGTTAGACGTTCGTACACAGCTTGATCGTAAATTAAAATTGCGGCATTGATTTATTAAATTATCCAAATCTAAATCGTTACTCATGATGAATTATAGATATACTATTCTATAATCGATACTACTTCCGTTTGATAAATAATTTAATTTATAAATTATTAATAAAATCGGACAATTTAAAACACAGCTTATTACATGTTTTGAGTAACTTGATTTTAATCGAAAGGTATAAGCGCACGACGTATTATCTTATTTTTATCAGTTTTACTATTTGATTATAAAGTTACTCTGGTTATCTTCAACAGTACGAAGTAATTGTCATCGTGTTTTTTTAAAATAAAGACACGCGTGTTTAAACAATATTAGTAAGTAAACCAAAATAATCTCTGAAAGTCTATAATTTGTGAGACTATTATTTTCCTGAACAGGATAAGAACGCAACAAAAATTAATTTTTGTTAAAGAAAAGAGTGGTGAGTTGTGAGCTATAAATTTCACTCTGTTTTCACTGTTTTATATAAAATTACTGACGTTTCAAAAAATACCTCTCTCTCTCTCCCTCTCTCTCTAAAATAAGTAGATATCTACCTACCATCTGTGTCCGAGATCTAATAATATATAGACGGAGCCGGTTAAAACTTTTAAAATTTTTCTTTTATCCGAAAAATTGTTATTGATATACTAAAAAAAAACGCATCATCGTAAAACCAATAGGTTTCTCTATCCTTTCAAAAGTATAAAAAAATATATGATGCAATAATAATAATAATGATTATTTATTTTACCTAAATCCTGTTTAGACAATATTTTCTTGGGTGAAATGCCACACAAAATATACTTTTCATTAAACGAAAACATTTCATTAATACTTTTGCACTAGGTTTATATGTTATAATATCGGTTTTTCGATTTTCTCAACAAATGTGAAAAATAAAAAAAAAAATTGAAAACCAGGAAAATGTAAGAAAAACGGGAAAATCGGTACAATAAACAAATATTATTAAAGATAATATATAATGCCTATTTAATTATTTGACTATAATATGACATATATATTGTTGACAAAGCATCACTATCAACTAAACTGCGTTCGGAATCGTTTTTTCGGTTAGCAATGGTTAATCTTTGTAAACAGATAAACATCAAATTACCTACAACACTGGCTGCACCCGTTTCCATTATCCTAGAACGTCTTTTTGTATTTTCGTTTAATAAATTGATAAAAAACAAACCTCGTATGTAGGTATAATTATTATTTTAGTAATTCGTCCTTTGTTCACAATTTTAATGCAAACCATATTATTGAAGCAAACAATTTGATGTCGATTAATGATTTAGGTTTATAATAATTTAAAGCTTGGTAAGTAATTATAGTTAATTTGTTGAAAAAAATATTTTCAGATTTAATGTTTTATAATATTTGCGTCTCCGTCGTTAAGATAATTACTTAATAATTATTTTAATGAAAAATTGTTTATAATTTTAATATTTATATTATATATTTTATATTTTGGAGTTATGAGCAAGTCAATTGAATGGTAAATAAATAACTAAATATATTATCACTACCATAAACTACAGATATATGCGTTGATTTAAATAAACGTCTTTGTGTGTATATCATATTAATTTAATTAATCGAATTTTCTTTATTATTTTTTTACTTGGTTCTTTAAATTAAATACTATGTGTTCAATTAACATATTATTTTTGTAATATTTCCTTGGGTTTTGGGTTAATTGTTAATAATAATAAATTAAAAATGTATAATGCTCAGTCGTATAAAATAATAGACGTATTAAATAATAATTTGTATCCCAAATTATGAAAGAATTTGTTATATAAACAAAATAAATATGCCTATTTATATTAAAAAAAAAAAAAAAAAAATGAAAATGTATTATGAAAATTGTTTGTACGAAAACAAATCGAATAATTGTAGTATAAAAACAAAATTAATAAATAAAAATGAATTACTTCATAAAAAATTGTTTTATTTAAAATAACGCCATGAAAATTCCTTTAAATTATATCGTCGGAGGCTGCACCGTCGGTCGTAAAGACTAAAGGCGAAAAAATATAATAGGTAATACCGAAAAAGAACGATAAAAACTTTGATTTATGAAGTTCGCCTTTATTTGGGAAAAAATATTGAGTTATGACTTGTTTACACGAGACAAGCGCTCGACCGACACTAGTGATTTCGGCCGAGTACTCGACCAATCTAAACACAAGGTGCAGTACTCGGTCTGGTGATCGGTCGAGTTTAATGAGCGAGCGAGTGAATAGATACCGTTTTTATTCGCTTTGCCGAGTGGTCACTCCCATCATCTTAGTAGTGGAGATAGCCACTCGGCAGTCGGCTCAGTGAATGAAATTCACGTAGACGTTGACTCGGTCAATATGGGTGTTTGGCCAAGTAACAAGACGAGTTTCGTGGCCGAGTACTCGTCCCATGTAAGCAAGCCATTAAATTATACTATACATTTATAATAGCAAATTATAAAAAAAAAACGGACGTGATAGAGAGAAATCATAATAATATTTTAAGTACCATTTGCTTGTTCGACTCGGCATTAAGTATAGCGATTTATTATTAGTATGTTATTTTAATATAGTATCGTTCGTAAGTGTACCTACACGACAATTATCGCAAACATTTTTTTTTTTACGAAACCGGGTACATACTACAATTTAAATTTAAACGTAGATATATGTTGCATTTATGTATTATGTATTGTGTATTGTATTACAATATGCACGTCTCATTATATAATTTGTATTATAATAAAATCGTGAAAATTTTAATATTTTTTTTTCCTATTACAAAACCATAGTGGAATTACTGGAATTTATTATTAACGCTATAATATCGTTAACCATCAAATTCAATTTCTGATAAATTAACAAAATAATCGGTAATTTTTATGCCTAATCAAATAGTATGATTGTGATTAAATTGTATACTTAAATGGAATAAAATACTTAGTACCTAATTTAAAATTCGTAATCTTCTTAACAGTAATAAATGAATTGGTATATAAATATTTTACTTTTAACATTTCATAATTCGAGTACCTTAATTAAATTTGAAATAAATATCTAATATTATAAACTTTATTCGTTACTTTGTTCACAGGAGAACATCCAGCGGCTATGCAAAAAGGTTCTAAGCTCAGTTTGAAATCGTCACTATCATTACTTAGTGTCTGCCTAGTGCTGTTTGTCAGCACGTGATTTATAATTGTAATATAATCATAAATAAGAAATTGTACAATATTTTTTAAAAAAAAAAGAAAGGAAAACCTATTTATAGTTATATAAATGCATGTATTTTCATTTTTGTGGAATATATTCATTCATGTATATTATTATTGTTTTCAGCCATACAAATACGTGTATACTTAATGCCAATGTTTAAAATATTATAAACAATTTTACAGTTTATATCTAATCTATATAATACATAATATCAAGTAATATTTATAATATTTTTTAAAAAACCCATCAACTATGAGTATAACCCTTAGATGGCAAAGGGGTCAGTATATATAATTTGTTTGTACCTAATATGCATCTATGCCGTTTTATATTCCCTTTTATACAAAAATTCCACGAGAGATAACAATAATATCTTATATTCTGAATCGGTTTTGTCTTTTAAAAGTTATTTTAATGATCGGTGTATTGATAAGACGTATGTCAATAAGAGGGCGTGATACCCGCATGAGTTGTCTCTCCGTCTTAACAAACGTACGACATAGCAAATTTACGTTCAGTACGAAAAACATTGTGCTGTTAATTTTAATGTTATAGCGAATTAAATCATTATTAAATTTAAAGATGAAAATATTATCTATATGAAACATTTACGCTATTTGTCTGATATTTTAATTTCCAAGAGAGATATGAGTATGTGAAATCATACAGTTTAATAATGCTTATAATATCTTGCTTAAAAATTTAAATATCGAACAAATAGCATCAATGTTGCACAAATATCGTTCTTCTCTCTAATTTCGATAATAAGTCAATTCACTTTAATATTAAAACTAACAGCTCATAGGTGTCCCTGCTAAACGGAAATATGCCATATGTCACTGTCATACTATTGTACGACCCATGTGAGCCCATATATTTCTCTTAAGTATAACCTATTAAAGGAACTTTAATTTAAAAAATTCCTTTAGAATCACATGAATACTATGTAATATTTATCTTATGTAGTTATTTATAACTATTAATTAATCATAATTTTAAATAGATATTAACAATAATATTGCTTATGATAGTAACAAACGTTGGTTATAACATATTATGTTTCTGGTAGGTATCTTATCTTAATATTTGGCTAATTTAAATTACGGTAACGTTATGATTTCAATTTATTTAATGGCACTACGTTTGTACTGTTTGATCATTATTATTAGTATTATAATTATTATTGTAAGTTTAAATTACAATACTTACCTTAGCTACCTACCCACCTAATTTTCGCATTATAATTGTCCACCACATGATTATTTTTAGTAAACTGTTCAATGGTCTTTAACTTAAATTAAAATTGTTTACTACTATTAATTAACCATAAATAATTAACGAAAAGGGATGTTTTGTTTTTATTATTTTTATTTGTTTGGTTAAGAGCAACTAAAAAGCGAATGAATAGAAAACAGTAGGTATAATTATATATAGTAGGTAAATTATACATTTAAAAACCGAGTATTTATACTTACTGTTTGAAATAAAAATTGTTTATATTATAATTATATAGAATTTCGCGAACCGATTAAACAATTATTTTGTAACTGTATAAACAATACAATTATATTAATAAATAAAAAAAAAAAAAAAAAAAAAAAAAAAAAACTAATATTTTACTATTTTAATCTAATTAACTTTAACATATTATTATGTAAAATAGTAATATTATGTTCGATTTGGAAATTGCCTATAATATACCAAGTATTATAGCACAGATAACATAATGCATTAATAGGTACTGTTAAAGCCTAACACCTGCCTTTTTCAATAATTTATTACCTTATTGATTACGAAATAAAATAATTGTATTATTATTAACTGTCAATAATAATAATATATATATATAAAAATATTTTTAAATAAATAAATTTAGCACTTATATTATTCAATTAATCTCGATTCGTTATTATCGTGCATAGAAAATCAAGATAAATAAATAACCGAGTTGCGACAGATAACTTAACATAGGGTAACTTTAGTGGGAGTGGGTTGAAAAATGATATCCGTGTAAAATTGAATTTTGTTTTTATTGATTTCTGTTTGTTTTTGAATAACCGAACATAACCTAACCCGGGCAACGCCGCATACAGCGATGACAGCTGACTATATTATAGTCGTGTATTTTGTACACCAACCTATAATATATTTCCTCATATATGTCTATTCGCTATCTGACTCTCATAATAGTAGTAAAACTGTAGGTATGTAAAACGTGATTTCCACACGTTACTTGTATTACATATCTTATATTCAACAACCCGAAAAGAACTAAAGTGCATATAATTTTGTACCTACCTACGCATTGAATAAAACAAATGTATAAATTATAATTATGTCGTATAAATAAAAATATAACAAACATGATCATTAATAAATATAGAAAAATAACTATCTATACGTCGTATATTATCAGGTTTATTTTTTTTATGAACACTATAGCACGGTGACCAACAAACTATGCCTACCTATACCTATATCATACGTATATACAGCTCATGGATTTGCAACATAATATAATAATTTTCTTGATCATAGGTTATCTCATAAGAACTAATATAAGTATGTAACCGTGGTTTTATAAAAGAAAAATTATATATTAATATATTTTTTAAAATCGTTTTATTTAAAACCTCACTGGAAGAAAACGAAAGCCTATAAGTTTCATTATTTGTTCGATATTGATTAATATCGGATGATATAAAACTCAACAAATTTATCTAGAAAATTAAGTCGTCAACAACTTTCAATACTTATTAAATACTCCTTACGACTTATACGCTGTATTATAGGTATATGATTGTTTTTTTTTTCTCTATTGTATAAACATATTACATACCTAATATTATTATCTTAATACTGTTTTTAATATATTTGTATTTGTTTTTAACATATTTTACATACCTACATAATTTAAATATTGTAAAAAATATAAACGAAAATACTAAATCAATGTTAATTATTACGCTTTGCGCAGTTATTATTATAATATTGTATGATAAATATAATATATTATGAATGTACTTAATACAGTTATACAGTTAAGAAAAATACGATTAAAGTAGTTGATCGTATTATTTTATTATAAAATATAGTATATATCTAATATATATTATGTGTATAAGATATATACTAATTAATTAATAACTAATAATATTATAAATTATAATTATAAAAAATATATATGTATACATATACTATTAAATCCGAGTTATGGTGTATTTTTTTTTTTTTTTTATCGGCACCTTATTTTAAAACAAATCGTACCTAGACAAAATTACATTTTTTTTTTTTTAAATATTTTTATTTTTGTAAATACTTTTTGTGGAAATTATTTAAATATTTGTAGAGCTAAATAATTAAATTTATTGTTTATTTTATTCTTGTTATGTATACCTATTACACCATTTCATAAATTTTATCATCATGAAACATGTATTATATAGTTGTCTTTAATATTTTGTTAAGTTTTTCTTATTTAAATCTTTTTTTTTTTTTTTTTTTACACAAATATCTATTCGTATAATTTATAATGTTACCTATACCTAATTAATCGTAATTTAATGTTCATTAAATGTTANATAAAAAATATATATGTATACATATACTATTAAATCCGAGTTATGGTGTATTTTTTTTTTTTTTTACACAAATATCTATTCGTATAATTTATAATGTTACCTATACCTAATTAATCGTAATTTAATGTTCATTAAATGTTATTTTATTCTGAATTGGAATATTGTATTTCTTCTTTAATTTTAATCCCACCGCTAATTAATAGATTGCATAAAACTTACGTACATTAATAGAAGTAGAAAGGTACAATAATATTTATTAATTTATTGCAAACCTAACTTTTTAGTTTATTGCATGATGAATACCTGTGTGGCGATAGTCTACCTTAAAAGTGATTATATAGATGCAGAAATTATATGTGTAACCGCTATACCTAACACAAATATTAGGAACAATAGGAACCTTTAAATTCTAACCAGCAGATAATCATTTTCTATTTATATTAAATAATAATATAATTTTAATCACATTTACACTTTTTAAAATATTAATTTACATGATTTTATAATATGTTCTTATAGGGTTAGAAAAAAAAACAATCTTGATTCTTAAATTCTTAATACCTAGAAAGGTTGTGTGAAGAATTAACTCGTAAATAAACTTATTCTTTAAGATTACCCAACATAAACTTTAATTCGTTAAATCAAATCAATTTTTGTAATATTTTGTTGATTATTTATCGACTTTTTTGATTTTTTAATGATACAATTAAAGTATACATATCTCTTTAGTTAATCAAAAATGATTCGGGGTACAATACAATACAAATTGTTTATAATATTTGTCTCAGTATTGTCAAGCACTAATTATAAATGCTAAAGCTAGAGGTGCAGTGGTCGTTTCGCATGTTTCATCTGTACAATTTAATTTATTATAGTACCTAGCTATCTAAACTAAACAAATAGCTTTCACTAGGCATTAAATCGTGAATAAAATTGATATTATAAAATTACAAAAATATTATTGATAGGTATTATTATTTAATTAGTTTATTCCATCTACTTGTTATTAAATGAAAATGCGTTTATGTTAACGCGTAATATTATTATGATTACCTAAATTACCTATGATACAAAGTATGTACTTACCTATATTTTTTATAGTTACCTATTTTAATAAAAACATACAATCGATTACACCTTAATTAAGATAAATTTAAATTAACTAATAAAATGTAAAACTAAAAAGTAAAAATACTATAATATAGTATTTTAAGTAATATTATTACTACCAATTATTATTGATCGAATGTATTTTGATAATTTTTATTAGTCTTGATATCAACACTACAACTTAGATTAGGTAGGTATACCTACACCTAAATCTATACTTAACCTACCATGTGTTTCTTATTAGACTTGAAGATTAGAAATCCTATGTATTTTGATGTTCCTCGGCAATTGTATGCATCTGATTGCAAATCCGATTGCCTTCCGGTACATAAGATGGACAACTTACTGACAAACAATGGATGAGATGCGATATAAAGAAATTGATAAGGTTTATTATCAATCAGGTGTTCCATCGGATTGAAAACTAAAGGAGGCAAAGTTTCAATTTGACACATACGGTTAGTCACATTACATCAACTCGCAGGATCTACTATCGCTCGTCAATGACGAATCTATAAAATACTCTTATGATCTACCAACATATTTTTTTTAAAGGGGTCATGATAGAAAAATAAACAAAAATATATAGTATAATTTTAGAGCTGGTACTCGGAAAAGCCAAAAACTATTATTTGTATAAATCACTCGCGGGTCATAATAAAAGGTATTCATTTTTCTGTTTTTCACCACTACCGCGGAAACCATTAATTCAACGGTTAAGATATTAGGCTGTCTTGGCGAAAAGAGTTGACGGTTTAAAAACTCTTGGCTGACAGGGGCTTATGCCGGCGACTACACTGTCAGCGTGATGAATTGAAGTGTTTTCTATTGCTCCAAAGCCTGTTCCCAACACACTAGTAGATTCACTATAACCCACAGTTCGCCTCAGTCACGTGCAATTTATCATACTTTATTTTTATTATTACTTTCTGACCCTCTGTATCTCAATTCTCTCGTACAGGTTCCTTTTCAAGCCAAATGGCAAAGATGCGTCTATCTTTTGTTTTACGACACTATTTCCAAAATCACTGTGCAACTTTTAGCTAACATTTATCTACAAAATTATTTAACGAACATTTAACTATATATGTACCGTAAACTACAATAAAGCCGATAAAAAATGAAAATATTGAGGATAAAGCATAAAGGTACTAATCAATTTTTGTAGTGTGTTATCGACTGTATGAAAAATTTTTTATTCAATTATGCAGTTTTTTATATACATACAAATATGTTAAAAATTAAAATAGCGGTTTTCGTTTGATGCATGGCATATCTGATTAGTGATTAATGAGAAAATCAACTATTTGTACGTTGTGCAGTATGCCCCAGGCCCCTATGACTGACATAGTTATCTAATAAAATACTGCAGAAATAACGAACATAACGTTATGGAATGAAGTTAAAAATGAACTAATTACTGAACATTTTTGGAAAAAAATAATGGACTTTTGTTTATAAAAAATATAATAAATCTCACAAGTTTATCTTTTAAATATTACCTACTATATACGGTATTTTAACCCTTAAAAAAGGGGGCGATTTTCTTATGTATACAATATACACATAATATTGTAGGTACTTAGTATAAGTCTATATGTTTCCGAACAACTCAAAGTTATACATTTATAATAACTCATTACACTAAAATGGTGAAGGGAGTATATTAAAAAAAATGTTAAATAATATTAATTGACCTTTTATTAATAGACGAAATATATCAATTATTTTCTACCTATCTAAAAAGACATCAAATATGATCGTTCCGGTACTTACATTTTTTACAGCAATTAACAGTAAGTAAAAAATAAAAACCATTATTTTCGGAATATGATAGCAGAAATTAAAGTAGGAACTAAGAATATTTAAGTTTTCTGAACTGTTACATGTTCTATTTTAATTGCTGAACACTTTCTGAGTATTTATTTTTGTATTGTAATAATTAACATTTAACTACCGATGTGTGGTTTGTCAGAAGATACAAATAATTGTTTATAGTTTACTTTTGATACAATGTTTTAAACTATATTTCTTTTTAAAACGCCTTTAAATAGGTTTTATTTGTCTTTAATAATTTAATGTTTATTTTTAAAGCAACCTGATAGACCGCACATCGGTATTTTAACAAATACGTATGCTCCCCTCCATTCGACTATTTGTACTTTTTCCTTCGCAGATATTTAATATATAATTTGTATGAATTGGTATGCCCAATGCCGGAATTTGTATGCCACTTACGTTACCTCACTTAGAAATTTTCAAAAAGTAGGAGTGGGAGAGAAAATAACGCTCCATGACGTCACTTGTCGTACAAACAAAATGTTTATTTATTGTCAATTGAACAATTGATATCCGCCTGCTGTATATAAGTAATGAGTTATTAAATTTCGTATGCATTTTAGTTTTTTGCAAACTATATTTTTTTACCAGAAATAATGCTTTAATCAAAAAATGTCATGAGACCTTTTTTGTTGTTTTTTGGATCTAGATGCTCTCGAAGAAAGTTATTTTTTAATTTCCCTGCTAGTTTTTAAATAATTGAGCAAAACCGAAAAAATATGTAGTTTCTATATATTTTGTACAGGAAAATGTATGAAATAACGTTTTTATTGTTTAAAAAGAAATTTAAAAAATTGAGTATTGAGTTTACTGTACTATTTTTTCTATACAAGAGTTGTAAAATCAAATTTTGACAAAAATTGTAAACATAACCGAAATTTACTCCAAATCGTTTTTTGCTTGCAATGATTTATCGAATACATAAATCACACGACGTATCCTACCTTCCTGACTTCCCACCTACAACAGTGGTGCACCCGTTTCCAATATCACTTCTTTTCTTTTGATCTGTAAGCACTTTTTTTCCTAGAAAACTTGCTCCATGTATATAAGTGTGGTACTTTTTCTGAAAGGAAATTTTACCTAGATGGTGCTTTAATGAGGTACTTGTTTTGATTTTCAAAGCGGGAAAAAACGTGGGAAAAACGTACGATCTCATGACCACATTATTTTAAATATTTACAACAACGTTTTCTTCCAGAAATATTGCTTTAATAGAAATTAGAAATATGATAATTGACCTTTTTTGTTGTTGCATTTCGGATCTAGTTTCTCATGTTGCAAGTCGTTTTTTGATTTTCCAATAGTTTTCATAATAGACAACTGTTACTGCATCAACGCATATATCGTATACGGCAACAGAGCGCGGCCAACGACCGCCGTGTACGGTGGATGATGTCACTTGTCAATGGTCATTTTAGTGCTACGGGTTTGAATTGCTTACGTGACCAAGTGGTGACCTATATTATCTATAAACTTCAAGATAGATAAACAATTGTGTATTCAACACGATTTATCTTAAGGTATATCTTAAACCGTGATATCCATTGAGTTATCATATATGATGACTCTTATCACATAGAGTTCAATGAATAAACCGTAGACATACTATATTATATTATTATATTATGTCTATGAATTAAACCTTGAATTTATTGCACCTTATTTGATTACTGCTATCGTTTCGATGTTTGTCGACATACCAACGGTTCTACGAGCGGTTTATACGATTTGTATTTATCTTTTACCTATGATAATAATTCTTTCATCAACAAGAAAAATAATTATTTATCTGTAAATACATAGTATATTATTTATGAATCACGACGTAATCAATCTCAACGAAATATTTATAATATTTATATTTGTAATAAAATACAGTTTACACAACTTACCAAATATTATTATCATGCTATTTCAAAATTATTATCACAATCGTTATCTCACTTCAGATTGTTATTTATCTTAAAGTTACAACAACCATTACGCCTGAAACCGTCACAATATCGTTTGTCTAACCGTTTAATTGTATTGCCGACACGCGAAAAACAATGTTATACTTATGATATTTTTATTAATGTTTTTAAGTATCTTCTCTAGGTATTACTGTTTTTAATTTTACCGTAATGGATAACTCAAATTTAATATTCGTATTTTTGATATATTTGTTTACATTAATTAACTGTACGAATATAGTGAGACCCAGGGGTATCGCTTTTGAAAGTAAGTCTGTATTTTATAATGATGCTAATGTTTCAACATAATCATTCAATATCTATAAAATTCATTGGTTAAATTTCTATTTTTTCAAGGGTCTTCACTTTATTTACCTGACAAGGATTTCTCATGTTTTGATGGAAGCTTTACAATCCCTTTTGCTTTTGTAAATGATGATTACTGTGACTGTCCAGATGCTAGTGATGAGCCTGGTACTTCAGCTTGCCCTAATGGAACATATCATTGCACCAATGCCGGTCACACATCGATTGTTATACCATCATCACGAGTAAACGATGGAATATGTGGTACAAATATTGTGTTTAATATAATATTATTATACTACAGTAGAAGTAGTAGAAATCATTAAGTTTACCATATCATTTGTTTTTTGTCATAATATTTGTTAGTTATGCATTCTATAACATAAGTACCAGCTAAATATTATTATGTTCAATGTTAATACTTAAGTACGACCCTGTATATTACAACAGCATTAGATAATACCTCTTTCGAGATACCACTAGAGGTTTATTGAAATATGATTTAAAACAATATTCAAATTCCTATTGATAGTCCCCTAATCAAGTAAGTTAAGAACTCTTTTACAAATTGTTGTCTAACCATACATTTAAATGCAAAGGCAAAACATATTAAATTTATACAAATTGTAGGTAAATGTTAAAAAATATGTTGTTATGATAAGTTGTCAATTTTAGTCACATTTAAATGATAGGAAGTGTAAACATAAAATTATAGACATTTAAAATATCTTGTAAAGTTTCATTGTTTAAAAACAAAATAATTTAACTATTTTAAAAACGTGTTCTGATACAAAACTAAAGGCCGGTAAAAATCAGTCTGTTAATATTTTGCAAACATCTGTAACCATAGGGGTCTGTAAAATTATAATGGCTTTATAACATGTTACAATATTGCATAAAAGAATTTATAAATTGTAAATTGTTCTGGATAAGTTAAACCACTTATATTTGATAGTATTCAAAAAATGAGAAAACTGTGCCTTCTTGCCTTTATGGTCTCAGTATCATTGTAAGTATTTCAATAATTTTATCATATTACTTGTTAATGGTGACATTAAATCTATAATATCCACAGTGATTCACTATTGTATGATTTAGGATTTACAATATTCAAATTTAAAAGATATTATCAGAAATGTCAACAATATTTTTCTATAAATCCCAATGTCAAATGACAAATATAAAATCTAACTAATAATTTAAAGATCCCATTTGTGATAAAAAGCGTTTTGTCTGATTCTTAAACTGAGTTTATTTCTGATAACCGACCATGATTGCTTGGTTATTTTGGTAAACTCCATTTAAAAATCAATTTTTACTATGTTGGTGAGAACGGGCCTTAATGTTTTACAGTATATTTAATCAAAATATTGAGTTATTTTTTTTTTAAATTGCTGCATACATTTATTTGTACATATTTAACACTTTAAAATATTTATTGAATAATCTATGTCAAACATACATATCTACCTCGCTCAACTCAAAATTTAAGATTTAGATTTTGGGTTAGTTTAATAATATTTGTATAATTTATTTAATAATATAACATAAGTAGGTATTTACTTAATGGACATAAAAAACATTTTAATGCATAATTAACCATATTCAGTAAAAAGTGTTATATTTTTAAATATATTATAATAAATATTCTTCCATTATAGATTGTTGTGACGGCTCTGATGAATGGGCAAATAATTTGAGGACAGGTTCATCTTGTGATAACACATGTGAAGAACTTGGTCGGGCAGCAAGGGAAGAAGCTGAAAGAGTACACAAAGTATTTACGGCTGGACATGAAATACGTGCACAATTAATTGCTAAAGGGAAAGAATTTCGATTGGAAAAACAAGTAAATTATTTTCATTTAAAAGAATTATATTATATAAAAATATAAATGTTTGTACTCAGTAACAAGCAACCTTGATAAGTATTCCAACGATTTTAGTATTAATAACAATAAAAATAAAACTCAGTTAACATATGAAACGTAAAAGATCTTGTTAATAGAATTAAGTGTGGATGTATGATATAGACTATGAAGAGAAACAACAATGTGTTTTACAGTATAAGTTTGTCATGAATGATAGGAATGATATTTTATTAAACCCTGAAGATCCATCGAAAACGTGTACATATCTGAGTGTTGAACATTGAATAAATTGGATTAATAAAAATACACTGTGATTCATTTAACGTAAAACAATTATTATTACGCATATAATTGACTCTCTTCTAAAAAAAAATTATTGAAAATGTATTCACACTGTACGTCTACCCGTCGTAAGAGGCGAAAATGATGTTATGTAACTTCAACAGATGATATAAAATTCTGCCAAACAGAGTGAGGAATTAGTTATAAATAAGACTTACAGATTTTCCTATCTCGGATAAGCGCAGTGACAACAAGTGAAAAGAGTGCATAATGTGTGCAGATAATATACAGATGTCCCACAAATATAAACCCATTATAATATTCCTGAGATAATAATGATAGTCTAATTCTGTTATTTTTTTTTTTATTTTATATTACTTACAAAGATAAGGAATACAAATATTTATATTAAAACTAAATTTTTATGTTTTAGTAAACATATTTTTATTTTATAATTTTTGAAAAATTTGAATCTAACCATTTTATAGAGTTTATTCTTCTGAAAATGTTGATGTCTCAATTTTTATTTTTTTTTTTTTTCAAATTTTCGATTTCTAATAATTTAAAGTTCAGAGAGAAAAAAAGTGTACAGTCAATTACTCATAATAATAACAATAGTCTATTAGTAAAGATTACAGCCTGTTGTATATTATATACCTAGTTTACATTCAGCCGCTGCTATGGCTACTCGCGCCACCGTATTTACTCCTCAAAATACTTCTGTGACAGCGTCGACAGCAGTGAGTGTTTACATTGACCTGCTAATTATAGCAGCACAAGCAGCAATTGACCGGATTGATCGCATTGCCGGTTGTGTTGCTGCTCGCGCTGCTCAGTTTAACGCGTTGGGCAGCGTCATTGCGAGGAGCATGATCAGCGCGAGTAACGTGTTTACATACTTGTGCTGCCCATTTTTATGCTCACTTCCCTGTTCACCGCCACGGAAGTGGGCTGAATGTAAACTAGGTAATAAGTAATTGGAATAATAATAATTAATATAACATATTTATTATTATTATGAATAATATTAGCTGTACACTTATTTTTCTGAAAATAAAAAATATATATAAATCATGTTAAAGAAAACAAAACATTTACACTTTGAACTTTCAGTAGAATAAACTCTATAAAATGACTATTTTCAAATTTGTCTATAATAACTAAATAAGTTATTATTTTTGTATTTTTTAGCAAAACATATAAATTTAATTCCAATATAAATATTTGTAATCTTCATCCCTGTAAATCAAATTTAAAAAAATATCCACATAATTTGATTATTTCTATTACCTCCGGAGATATTACAATTTGTATATCTTAGTGGGACACGTTAGTTTTGATAGGATAAAATCTAGAATAAGTTAACAATAGGCTTGAGGAATACAATGTAGTATTTGAAAGAAAGGGATTAAGGATAGATAGAAATAAAACAGAGTATGAATTTTGTGAAACAGAACAAGACGACTAACAACAATAAGTAGTAATAGGCGAGGTAGAGAATATGGAAATAATAATAAAAATGTAACATTTTAGAACTCCTTATTGCAATGTATCCTTTAACTAACGTGCGTAGGTAGGCAATTGTGTACTGGTAGCTATCAATTGGATCTCTTGTCTAACTTGATAAAACTACCTACTGCTTATTGATACCCACTTGGGCGTGACGTCGCATTATTTAAAAAAAAAGTCAATACTTTGTATAATAATGAGTGTGTATTGTATGTTAAATTAATTAATTACAGAAATAAGAATATTAAGGTGGGTTTGTGGTGTAATTATTATAGGATTAGGATTAAATAATACAGGAATTCCTACAGTGTTATCCTTATGTAAATATTTATTTTGTTTTAATTTTTATTTAATCGGGTTTTGTGTGAAGGGAACACACATGTAGAAAACAATTTTAATTTTCATCCTTTAATCAATGAAAAAAAATTACTTTAGTTTTCCACGTTTTAAAATATTCAAAATAGCTATTCTGTAAAATATATTACCCCTAGATCTACATGGATCAAGCTGGCCCAACCCTACCCAATTTTTGGCCTGACCATTAGTCAGGAAAATTTTTATATCAAATTGGATTGGGTCAGATTAAAATAACATATTATTCTATTGAAAATTAGTTCTTTTCACGTCAATTTTCTAGAAATTAAAATGGCTTTCACTAAGAAACTGCTCGAAAAATACTTTAGCATTGTCATGCAGCAAAAGCTAATCATTTGTTGGGTACAAATTTGGGCAAACGTGCCGTATGCGTTTCAAAAGACGGTTGAGTACACTGTGGTAAAATACCCCATCAACTGTTTGTCCAGGAGGAACAAATTAAATAATGCTGAAGTTGAAAAAAATAAATTGACACTATCTTCACTTTTGATTTTATTGCGAGAACTTTGACTGATCACCCTTCGTCTGAACCTCGTCTCGCGGTTCAGCATTTTATGCAAGAGTCGTATTGAAAACTTGATTTATTATTTTATCGTTTAAAAACTGTTTGGGTAGCACTTTTATTTAATTTAAAATACAATTTAATTGCTGCTCTTTGTTCTATTGTAAAAATAATTGTGACTCAATATTATAAACTTGTGCACTTTATCGTTATTGGACTTTTACGGTCGTTATCAATGCGTATTATATAATGTAGTGCCATCAGTGAATTATAGATAACGCTATATATAAATATTTAAAAATCATCAGTCCCGGAACTTTTTGAATATACTGTGTATAAGAGGTAGTTTAGGCGTAGTGATATAGCAAAAACATGAGAGAATAGATTATAATAGTATGGACATAGAGCAATAGGGCAACATGTTTTACGAAAGAGAAACTATGATATAGTCAAGAAGATGAATGTATATGAATGTGGTATATGAAAGGTATATAAATTTGATGACATCAAATAATGGTGATGGATAGAAAATATGTCATGAATGAAAATAGTTATAATATTGTGAACAGGATAAAAGTGAAGAAACAAATTATTATATTTAAAGTATGTTAAAGTCATGTTAACAATATTTATCTTTATAGAATAGAATTACTGAACTTTTTAAAGAACAACAAGAAGTTGAACTTATTAGAAACACTACATTATCAGTTAAAGAAACAAAAGATGAAATTGAAAAATCTGCATTAGAAAAGTATAAAGCAATACAAGATGAAAAACAAAAACAAGAAAATGAACGAGAAAAAATACAAAATCAAAATGAAGCCTTTGAAATATTTAATGAAATAGATACAAATAAAAATAATAAGTATGGTTTTCAATTTAGTTTAACTTAATATTTAAAAAATATATAAATTGTTGTTTTATATTTAGGATTGAAGAAGAAGAAGTAGATGCTTATAATGCATTTGATCAAAATAAAGATGGTACTGTTTCACAGGATGAAAAAGATGTAAGAAAATTATAATAGAATAATATTAATGTATAAAACATTTTAATATATTACAATTCTTTATATTAGTTGCATAATAATAATGAAATCAAATATTTTTTTATTAATTTATTATTTTAATAGTACAAACTTAAAATGTTTTTTTGTAATATTTATATTAAAAATTTAAAAAAATTACATTTAATTTTCAGTATTTTATGGAAAATAAGAAGGAAATTGATTTAGAAGAGTTTATGGCAAATAGTTGGGATCGTTTAAAGCAATTATTGTTTGCTGCTCAAGCCACAAATATAAAAGAAACTGAAAGTACGGTTGGAGAAGAAATTGATTCAAATCAAGCAGAAGAGGTAGAAGATCAAGATGATAATGAAGATGAAAGTGAACATGTTGAAGATGAAGTGAAATATACAGAACCTGATGAATATGATGTATCACAATACGACGAAGAAACAAAACTAATAATAGAAGGTAGTATTATAAGATCATATTAAAAATATTTATTTGAATACATTTGATTAAATATAATAATTAAAATAAAAAATACTGGCATTTCTAAACTAGTATAATTTGTTTTCAAGTTGTTAAAACATTTTTTATAATGTGAATTTGTTATACTATCATCATTTGGCTAGAGTTAGCTTTGCAATGATTTATTAAATTAAATTTTAATACTCAAAATTGAAATTATGATTGTAATATTAGATTTATACTATCTTCCATGTCTAATTACTTGTACATTATTACATTTTTTAAAACCTTTAATAGTTTAATTATTAATCAAAATCTAAACAAATAAATATTTTTGTGTTAAATTCAATACTTTTAATTTGACTATAAAATGTATTTAAATTCATTATTTTTACATAAATTAACTGTATTATCTTATTCACTGGGCCTATCTATCAATTATGAGCTAGTTCTTTTTTTTGAATCTGTATTTAATCTAATATTTGTATTTTTAGAAGCAAAAAAAGCCCGGGAAGCGTTCGAAGATGTAGATAGAAAATACAGAGACATCCAACGAGAAGTGTCCCATTTGCAAGAATCACTTAATAAAGATTTTGGCCCAGAGGATGAATTTGCAGCTTTGGATGGAGAATGTTATGAACTTTCTGATCATGAATATATTTATAAATTATGTCTTTTTGATCAAGTATGTGCTTTATTACAATTTTAGAATACTAAATTAAGAATCTAGTTAAAAATATCAAAGTTTAAATTATAATAATTAATAAATAATCATGTTATTATTCATATACATATCCATATATATATAGATATTATATAGATATTGTTATCATATTTTTACTGGTGAATGCGATTTTAGATTCTGAGTGAAGTGAAGAAGCTTATGGTTTATTTTTTATTTTCAATTTTTTTTTTTAATTGTAGCACCTTTTCTGAAAATAAATCGGTTTGGAGGACGGGGTACTTTAATGCGGTCATTTTTTTAATCTTCTCAAAGGTTTCCTCATAAAATTTGAAAAGCCAAGAAAAAAAGTAGGAAAACCAGGAAAACTAGTACAACATTAAACAAATATTATTAAAGAAAATAAATAAAGCCTATTTGATTATTTTACTATATTATTGACAAAGCATCACTATCAACTGAACTCTGCTCAAAATTGTTTTTTCGTAAGCAATGGTTTATCATTGCTTACAGGTATAAATTAAATTACCTGTAACATTGGCTGCATCTGTCTCCATTATCCTGGGATGTTTTTTAAAATATTGTATTATAAACTAAATAATAATTGAATAGTCAAAAATTACTTTGAATATATATGGATATGTATAATCTATATGAATAACAACATGATTATTCTTTAATTATTATACTTTTATTATTTTTTCTTTGAATATTATAGACCCGGATATTTTTACCAGTTGCCTTAAATTAATACTAATTTTTGAATTTTTTCAAATAATATATTATATTAATTTTATTAATTTGTGCCAGATTACACAACGTTCTAAAAATGGAGGGTCAGAAGTTAGATTGGGAACTTGGAATAATTGGATCGGTGAACCAAAATATCGTACAATGTTATATGATAGAGGTCAACATTGTTGGAATGGTCCACAAAGATCTACACATGTATGGATATTTGTATTAATTACCTAAATAATGTCTATGCTTTTGATTTTTAAAATAACAAGATATTATAGTATTATATTAATGTTTAAAATAGGTACGTTTAAGTTGTGGCATTGAACCAGCATTGATATCAGCAACAGAACCTAATCGTTGTGAATATGCTATGGATTTTGTTGTACCAGCTGCTTGTGTCCAGCATAGTGAACAGCTTTCAGCACCTGTAACAGAACCTGAGCATGATGAATTATAAATTTTATTTAAAATCAACTATTCATAATTTTTTAATTTATGATTTTGTATCAACTATTTTTGGTGTTTGGTACAAGATGTATTTGTTCATTATTTTTTGAATTTATCAGTTTACTTTTATTTGTTACAATTTGTCTATATATATTTTTTTCCCTTTTTTTATATATATATATATATATAATTGAAAAAAATAATTGTAAACATGTTTACAGATATAAAATAAAATGTGATGTTTAGTTTAAACGCATTTGTGGACATAAAATCAACCTTAAGAAGTAATAAATCTTTTCCTAGTTTATAGTTAATATTTGTGAGATCAATTTTATTTGTTACAAAAATATTTTTAAAAGTTATTCAAAATATTTGTACTACAGATAAGAGAACAAAGGAAACTCAATAGATGATATTGTTTTTATGATCTTGTTTATTATTTATTTTTATTAAGAAATATAACAGACTTTTATGTTTTTACATACACATTATTAACTTTATCCTGGTTGAATTAAGATTGGATTTTGAACAAAATATGAATATAATTTCGTCTTACATAAAATTAATATTATTTAAGTTACGCGATTTGTTTGACATTACCTAGTTATACATTTAATATTATAAGAGTATTCTATTTATTTATTTTTGTATTTATTTAAAGTTTAAACACCCAAAGGGGTAAAGAGTACAGTTACAATTGCACAAAAGATACAATCCAAATCTAAATATTGAATATTAGATTATACATTATTATATAAATGATATAATACATAAGATTATATATATTATTCTTTTAATTTATTCTAAATAATATCCTTTTTACATTTTTTTTTTTTTTTTTTTTAATTAAATCAAATACATTAGGTTACTATATATTTTTTTAATGTATTATAATCACTAATAATATTACTTATTTATTAATTTTATTTTGTGTTAATTTTGATTGTTGACAATTCACTTTGTTGTATTGGTGAATATAAAAATTAAATTAAATATTTGTTTTTAAATAAAATATCTTGTTTAAAGCAAAGAAAAAAATAATTATAACAATTGTAATAATAATGGAATGTGATAGATATGTAAGAAACACTTTAATTACAATACCATAATAATAACAATTGATTGATTGTACAGTAAAAGTCTTAAAAAAATCATTGTCTTTAAACATCACTATTTCAAAAAATTGAATTAAATTTATAAAATATTACATCTACTAACGATAATAAATAATAATAAACATTGTAAAATTAATACATTTCATGCTCCAAATCTAAAATATAAAACCAGCATCTAAGCATTTATGTGTATTTGCATTGAATTATTTTTAATTTAAATATTTATCTATATTATGATATGCATACCTCATAATATTATACTTTATTATACTTATTGTCGCTTGGCGCGAAAAAACTCTAATGTTCAAAAAATCAAAAAATGACATTTTTATACCTCCAAATTCAGAAAAAATAAGCCGTCTAGTGATAGATATTTCAAACGTTTTAGTGTTACAAAAACATTTTTATTCTTTAATACAATGAAACTTCTATGTGAGCTGTATAATATATGAGGCACCTAAAACACAAGGGGTATAAGTGATATTTTTTTGATTTCGAGAAAATCAAGTTTAAAGTTATTTGTATTTAATATATTTATAATAGTATATTGTCAAAGTATTATCTCTGTTCTTGTGTTTGAATGATAAAAAAAAGTTTTGAAAACTTGGCAGTCGAGATACATAAGTGTGTTTATAGCTGTTGTGGACTCTTGTACCTATTTACTTTTAATATGTTATGATATTTTCATTTGAAGACTATTTTATTGAGATCTAATATTCGTTACTAGATGGTAGTGCATAACGAATATATTTTTATATTTTTTTGCACAATAAAATGGAATATTTTTAATTCAGCTGTGCTCTCAACTCAGATTTTTTTAAAAATGTCACTTATACTCCTTGTGTTCCAAGCGACTCACGTAAAATATTAAAATGTTATCTCGATGTATTCAATATAATGTTTTACCTTTCCAACTTCTCATTCATAACAGTGGCTCCACCAATGGGCGCCGTTTTTGAAGGAAAATCACGGGGTAGCGGTAACAGAGGTGTCATTTCACATTTTTTTTTTACGAGTTGCAAAGTTCATTAGTAAAGCCGTTCGCTTCGATCGCGTATCACACTAAGGAAATAAGGAATATATTTCTACATAAAATTCTATTTTTCAATTACCGTATAACGTATTAATATTGATTATTGATAATAGTTAGGTACCTACAGTTTATATTAAAAAGCTATTTCAGTATGTTATCTAAGTATAGGTAATTATAATAAACATAAACGAATTGAGTATGAAGAAGGTATTCTTATTTATAAAAATGTATTCATCGCAAAATATTTTTTCAATGATGATTTGCAAATATTTTTTGCCACCTAAAATACATGTTCAAAATATTCCTAAGATATTTAGAAAATATATTCTAAACTATTTTTAAAATATTTTTGTTCGTCATTATTAAAATGCCTTTTTCTATTAAATATTTAAAAAGAAAAAGGGAAAATATGCGAAAAATGAATAGAAAAACATTTAATCTAATAATTATAACAATAATACATATAATGGAGGGAGGGGGATTTAAAAAAATGCACGCAAAAGAAAAAAACACAAAAAATCCGGCAATCCGCGGTCGGGTATCGAACCGAGAACTGTAATGTACAAATCTAACCTACGTACCTACCTAGCTTCCACAATTGATATAGTCATATATATATAACAAAAGGTATTATTTTATAGGTATACAAATTATAATCCTACTCGACGGATACATTCGATTAATACGCGTAAACGATCGAAAAAAAGTGATATTGCGCGAAATCGAAACAAAATGAACGATTTACGAGCGTTAAACCGAAGAAAACGTACAGATACCCGCGAAAATAACGTCGAAATATTACGGTGAGCCGTAGTAAAACAATACGCGACGACCAATAACGGCGAGAAACGGTGTCGGAGAACGGCCGGTCGGACTTGGCGAAACACGTTTTTGGAAAACGAAAGCCGGGAACGTTCGGGGGTCACGTTTAAAAACATAAAATAGTTATAAAAGGTTTATATGATATCATTGATATCGTTATCGATAATATTTTAAAAATATAGGTACCCATTGTATGATGATAATCACAAAATATTTCAAATAAATATGTTTTAAAATATTTTCGTTTTCAATTATTATTAAATTATTTATTAGATAATATATAGGTAGGCACGTACAGAAAAAAAAAAAATTCGAGGGGGTGGTCAAAAAAAATTTACAATTATCAATATTCGAAAAAAAGACGTCCTAGGATAATGGGGACGGGTGCAATCACTGTTTTAGGTATTTTAATGTACACTTGTAAGCAACGATAAATCATTGCTTACAAAAAATACGATTCTGAGTGGAGTTCAGTTGATAGTGATGCTTTGTAAACAATATAAATGACATATTATAGTAAAATAATTTATAAGGCTTTATATATTTTCTTTAATATATGTTTAATATTGTACTGATTTTCCCGGTTTTTCACATATGCTGGGAAAAGTCCTAAGAAATTCGAAAAATTACTTCTCCTCTATAGTTCCTCTCTAGTGAAATTGCCTTTTAGAAACATTGGTATCATTAGAGTTGGAGCAAAATTGCTGGCAGAAAAGTTGTGCACAGAAAAAGAGAAGGCCGTAATATATTTTAACTAATACCTACATTTCTTATATATTCCCGTTTTTTTTTTCGGTTTTTCATATTTGATGAGAAAACTCCTGAGAAAACCAAAAAATGAACAATACCGAAAGCTCTGCTAATCTATAAAGACATTAAACTTCAGTTTCATATTTATATATCTACATAATTATCGATAAATTATCGTAATAAAACGACAAAAAACATTTTTGTGAAATTTTTCCAAAATTATTGTATTATTTGGAAATTTCTATGAAATTATCTGCATGTACATATTTTAAAAGTGTTTAAAAAATTCACGGGATTCACCCTTGCGTCCTGCAAATGACGCCATTGGGAGCGTATTGCAAGCATAGGCGTCCGCAGACTATTTTCTAAGGGAGGGCAAACATAATTTAAAAAATAAATGACGATTTTGTTTTATAAAATAAATTCTTAACTTTAATACATTATAGTTACTAGTGTTTGTATGTTTTTTTTTATTAAGTATAAATTGTAATCTATGTGGCCATTCTCTACCAAATTGTGTTAGTCCTTTTTCAATTAATTGGTCTTTCTCTGAATTTACTTGTTTGTGATGAACACTTAACATGCATAGCCCACTCAGACTATGTTCACCCATCGTTGATCAAAGTCATGTTTTAACACGCCTTAAAGTACTAAAAGAATGTTTTGCTGTACAACTTGTAGCTGGTAGGGATATAAATATTTTCAAAGCAATTGCTATACTTGGGAAAAATGTACAGTTACTATTTAACAAATCAATAAAATTAATGTCTTGATAGTTCCGATTTTGCTAAAATTGTACCAACTTTCTGATTCAGCTTGTAGATTATAAATTTTATAGAAATTGTAGATTTTTCAACGCTCTTAAAGAATATATTTTTTTTGAATTGTTTAAAATTTATAGGGCGATGATATTGTAATAAAAAAACAACATTATTTTCTTTTTCAAAACGTTCTTTTATGGATTGTGTAATTGAATCAAGATATGGTATAACAACTGATACTAGGTAATAATCTTCACAACTTTTTGTTTCATAATTGATCTTAGTGACTTTTTTTCACTGTTCTTTAACATGTAATACAAATATTTATAGTAATGGCGATTAATTCAGCTTTTTTTAAATAACGTTTGAAAAATTTCATTAATGTCATTTTGATGATTATCAAAAATTTTTAGTAATGAATCAACATGTTTGCTGACTTAATAGAGATCTACCGATACATCTTGTAATATATTTATCACGGGTTCTAAAATGGCACTGTACTTCACCATAGTAATCATAGAAATCAAGAAAGATGAACTTGAGGCTGCAAAATATATTTAAAATTTAAGGGAGGTGAATGCCCTGTCTTGTCCCTTCTAGAGACACCCATGGTAGCAAGCCTAACTTTTGTATAATATTTTTAATTCAGTTGTGATCTGAAGAAGTATCCCTCACTTCATTGTTCGGTGAATCAGATCCTAGTCAATTATTGTTCATTAGAATTCGATAGAAAATATCAAATTAATTTAGAAGTATAAATAATCCGTCAATCTATCTTCATATTATGTGTAATTAATAAAGCTGACAGTATACAATTATTGCGTTCTTATAATCAGTGAATACTATGAAAAAAGCAAGAAAATTATAATTTTTTTAAAAATTACTCATAAGGTAGTGCAACTATTATCCTGCAACCATGATAAAAATAGTGGGGTAGCAGTTGTAACCTCTCACTACCCTGTAATGATACCTATGGCTGTATTAGTCCCTATTATTCTAGGACATCATTTTAAGTTTACATTCTATCAATGGCATAATTTATCCTAATTTTTAATCGGCTTGCAAAGCATTAGGGTACTTGAAGATGATGGGTATTATAATAGTACATAGGTAACAAGAAGAATCATTATCAAATTATGTCATGTAAAATAATACTATGTAAATATATTGTCAGCTAACTGACCACTTAAAATTATGGTTGAATCATACACATTTTTAACTCATGATGTTTTGTACAAAGATAGGTAGATCCAGATGATAAATTTAATGATTTAGTTTAAAACAAAGCTTTGATTAGAAAAAATCTCAAACATTATCAAATATCTGGTGAGGCAAAGTCCAATTGATGACATAGTAAATTTAAATTGTTTTATATATTATGAAAAATATCTTGAAAATGAAAATGTATCAATAATTAAAAATCAACTTGTATTTGATCAAAAATATATTTATAATGTAATTTTGAATAATATATTAGTATACTATAGACATAAAACCTTTCTTGTGTAAAGAAAAAATATATACACAATTATTAACCTCCTATG